ACGTGCAAAGTTTGGGTTTATTGGTTCCTAAAATGAATCCTTGAAGACCTCTGTGCATTTTAACTCAGACAGCAGAGTCATTGTTTTTAGAAAGCACATCATGACCATGAGAGTTTAACCCTTTGGGTTCTGTTGTTGGTATTTTTGTTTGTTTGTTTTCAAAACAAGAGTCTCTGTGTAGTCCTAGCTGTCCTGGAATTTGCTGTGTAGACCAGGCTGGCCTCAAACCCACAGAGAGCCGCTGGGAAATTTTCTGTACAAAGCTGTTGTCACCAATGAAAAATTACTGGTTCATTTGGTTGAACATACAAAGGCAGTTTTAAATGGTCTTCTGGCAGTGTTCTTGGTATTGTTGTATGTTTGTTTTAGATAAAAGTCACATGTTCCCACTGAGAGAGAGAGCTTCAGTGATTAGGGTCAGCCCTGGAACGAGGGTCAACAGTGTGGTCCTGCATCTCAGCTTGAGCTGTTTTTTATTTGTTTTTTAATTCCTTGAAAGAACAAATGTGTTGAATGAAAATGCAAAGCCACTGCCACTCCCTCCCGTCCGCCACCCCCCCCACCCCCCCGCCCCCCAGCCTCACATTCTTAAATGCTTGTCCCTAGTTGATAGAAATTTGGTAAGGTTTAGGAGGTGGAGGTGTGGCTTTGGTGAAGGTGGTTTGTCAGTGGGGGGTGGGCTTTGAAGTTTCAAAAACCCATACTATTCTTAGTTAGCTTTTTCTGCTTCATACTTGCTTTTTTTTTTTCTTTCTTTCTTTTTTTTTTTTTTCCCCGAGACAGGGTTTCTCTGTGGTTTTGGAGCCTGTCCTGGAACTAGCTCTTGTAGACCAGGCTGGTCTCGAACTCACAGAGATCCGCCTGCCTCTGCCTCCCGAGTGCTGGGATTAAAGGCGTGCGCCACCACCGCCCAGCTCTTGATTCATACTTCTGAGTAGACTCAGCTACTGCCCTAGTTCCTAATTAAACACTTTTTTTTTTTTTTTTTTTTTAAATAAGTTTCCTTGGTCATGGTGTTTGTTCACCCAATAGGAAAATAATTAAGACAGTGAATTATGCTTTTTCATCTCCCACCAGCTTTGGTGGCTAGCCCTGCTTTCTAATGCATGAAGGTAATCGGTGTATTAGAGTAGAAGTTTGATGACATAGAAATCTCTGGGCCAACCTCCAAAGCAGCGTCCTTGCCATCAGTACCCAGATGTGCAGAGCTTGACTAAATGAAAGTAATGGAAACGTCATTCAGTTGGGTCAGTGTGTTAAAGTTATTTGAACATTTGCTTAGACTCTGGTTCTAAAGTTCCCTTAGGGTTGCTGTGTCTCTGCATGGTTTCAGGAGTTTGCCTGGCTGGGCCAGTGAGGAAATGAAGAAAAGAATACACAGACAAGTTGAAAGCAGGTGGACTAGGCTTTCTGATAGAGTAACCACAGCACCTAGGAAGCTCAGCACAGCAGTTGACCAAGGAGGCAGGGATGTATTGCCTATGAGTAAACATGGAGGCAGGATTTATGGTATACTGCTGAATTGAGGAAGTAGGTTTAGCTAATCTTTGTAAGAACAGTCTCAGTAGAGGACAATCTTCAGACTGTGGGGATGTAGGGGAAACTAGTTTGGATATTTTCTGCACATTATCAACACTATCAATACACTTGAACCAGGGGAGAAAGCTTTGCCATTTCCTGTGGTCTAAGGCATTGGGTCTTTGATGTGATTATTCTGATGTTTTTGCTAATTTGGTTTCTTTTCAATATGGGGTCTCTGTGTAGCCAAGGATGGCCTTAAACTCCTAATCTTTCTGTACTTACCTCCTATGTGCTGGGTTACAGGTGTGCCCCTCCTGGTTTGTTAGCAATCTTGATCCAGGTCTGTAGGAACTCTACCTTCATTATTTTGAGCATCTGCTGCATTGTTTCCAATAGCAGCTGGACCATTTTGTGTTACCCTTGGAATGTACAAGAATATACTGGCTCTTCCATGTCCTGTGTCTTCATCAGTACTGTGTCTACCTACAGCTTGGATTATAGGCATGTGCTCCCAGTTCATCTAATATTGGAGGTTGAAACCAAGTCTGTGTGCATGCAGAATAATCGCCAACTGAACCACATCCCCGCATTTTTCTTTCTTTCATTATCACAATAGGATACCCTTACTGAAGGTGTTAGTAAATGCCTAAGAACTTCTTTGCAGATGTAAGTACCCATATATTTTCACAGTATTTCCAAACTACAACCCTTCCCTGTAGTTGAGATAAATGTATTTTCTGAGAGCAGTCTGTTCAAGAACTTGACACAGAAGACTTAATAGGATTAGCTGGTGAGAGTCATTAGCAGGGGTGACTAAGCTTGTCCTCTGGCTCTTGGCCTGGTGTGTTTGCCTTGGTCCGGTAGTTACAGAATAGGGCAGGTGGTGTGGATGTGCTTTTCATTTCTCAGAACTTTGTGAGCTTCCCTCTGTCAAACATTTGAGAGGCTTTTGTGGAGAGGGGCAGGGAATGTTGATTCTGCTCCAGCCTACAGTAGAATTTACATGTAGCTGGCTGGTTTTCCAAGGGACTAAGATGACTCAGGTTAGAAGATTGTGTTTTAGCACCTCAGCTCAGTTAGATTAGATTCTGAGTTCTGACCGTGGTGATATTTATCTGTTTTTCTTTTTTAAAAAAACGTGTTCTAGCGAGGCGGTGGTGGTATATACCTTTAATCCCAGCACTCGGGAGAGGCAGGTGGATCTCTGTGAGTTCAAGGCCAGCCTGGTTCGACAAACCGCGTCTCAAATGCCCCACCCCAAAAAATAACAACAACAAAAAAAGCATATTCTACATTATTACTTGAGAGTTGAAATAGCATTTGAAATATTCTCAACTACAACAATATTTGAGAATTACAAATAAAAATTGAATTTTCTTAGTTCTTTACATTGTTTTGATATGATCTAGATCTGCATGTACACGTTCCCCTCACAGTGTCATGTAATCTCTATACTATACACATCACACCATTTCAGGTCATATTGTGGTTAATAATTGTATTTCATACTGACCTTTCACATAATAAAAATTTACCTTTAATAAAATGAAACTAAAGCTAGAAAAAGATAAATGGATTGGTTTTCTGTTTTGAGATATAGAGCCTTTGTTTCTTTTCCCAGATGTTCTATCTGTTCCGAAGACGAAAGATTCCTTACCTACTTTGCTGTGAGTTTCAAAGACTTGTAAAGAGAATAGCTGTCAGACTCTTTGAATACAGGATAATGTCATCAGTAAATCTTTCAGTTTGTTTTTCTAAAAGTAATCAGCCATTCAGCCCGTGTGCTGTGTTGATGTAGTCTGGTGCCTGCTAGGAAATGAATTCACTTCATCTTGAGGACTCTTAGTTCTCGGCTGCTTTTTCTTTGCACATTCCAGGCTTACCTTCCTTGGGGTTTCATTCTTTCTGCCCACAAGGGGGCAGATAAAGGAAGAGGGAAAGGCTAAGTGAGCCTGTTCAGGGTTTCGCTTTTGCTAGAGTTGCAGGAGTTTGGAAATGACTTCAGAAAGAAGCAGTGACTTTCTTTCTTAAGACAACTCAGTGTCCTCTCCACCTGCTTCAGGCCAAAAAACCAACCAACCAACCAGACAGCAAAACCCAAAAAACTTTCTTGTTTTGTTTTATTTTTCAAGACAGGGTTTCTCTGTGTAGCCCTGGCAGTCCTGAAACTCTCTCTGTAGATCAGGCTGACTTTGAACTCAGATCCTCTGGCCTCTGCTGGGATTAAAGGCATGTTCTACCGTCTTTTAAAAAATGCTTACCAAAGCCTTCTTAGGGCCTTCAATTTTTTTCTGCAGATAATTTCTCCCTAAAATTAATGAGTTGGGTTTTAGGAAATGATAGCATTTAAATGTATGTCTGAATTTATGCATAGTGGCATCTTAGATGCCTATGTCAAGATTTCTCATGAATGAGAATTTTGCCAAGTTCAGACTTTGTTTCCAATGGAAGGGGCAGAAGTTACCCTCTCCATTGCAGGCGGCCTCTCATTTCTTAAAGCTTCAGTTACTATGGCCATGCCGTTAAGTGAATTACGTTCATCAATACCTACAAATGTATATATATATGATGGTTAAGTTATTTACAGAAAATTTATTCTATTTGAAGCATATTTGATATTGAATACCTCAACATCTTATATACTGTTTGAGTCTGGGAAATTTTGTTTATTCTGTGTGTGTGTGTGCTCATGTATGTTGGTGCACACGTGTATGTGTGTATGTTTGTGTAGAGGACAGAGGACAACTTCAGAAGTCATTCCTTGGGGGCTATCATTGTTTTTGAGATGGGGTCTCTCACTCGTGTGGAGCTTACCAAGTAGGCTAGCGGGCTGTCTAGTGAGTTCTGGGGATCTAGGCCTCTTTGCTTCCCTCAAGACTATGGGAATTTTAAATAGACATCCGTTTTCTTTGTTTTGACTTGATATTGGGCTACTGTGATCTCAGGGTGGTGGTGGTGTTTTTTTCCCCCAGTATGAGGCATAGTTACTCTTTCATGTTCTTCTCCTGTTTTCTAGTAAACATACTTCTTTTGGAAAACTGCTGATTTTCCCTATCGTCTGTGTGAGATACATTTTGTATATATGATTTTAACTATTTAAGATATTGGGGGAAGTGATGGGGCAAATTTGAAGACATTGATTCTTTTTGTTTGGTTTCTGGTGTCTGTTTTTAAGTCATGTTTTTTTTTTTTTTCTTCTGTTGCCTCTATTAAGATCTCTGATTGTCAAGGATTCTGTATCCCCGTGGCATGGTACACATAATGACTAAAATGGTTATCTTACATTCCTATAGCATTCTTTTTTTCAGCACTTAATGCCTTTTATTCCTTAGCTTCATGCATGAATTATGTAGCATATGTGAAGAGGCTTAAACTGTTTCCATTGCATTCTTTCTGGCTGGCTGCTGTTATATTTAGGGTATACTTATAGTTTAGACAAAGTAAGAATGTTATTGTTGTTGACCTTGACACTAGATAACTGGGCAGACATTATATAGCTATGTTCGAATCCTCACAAAATGTGCTGTTGAAGCCAACAGAGTCCTGGCGGGAGACTCTTCTGGACAGCAGAGTCATGGAACTTTTCTTCACAGTAAGTCCTAGTCTTTTTCTCTGTTAAGAGGGGACACGGGAAGAGGAAATGCCTTTGTTTTTCTTAAGTAAAACATGACAGATTTCTTTTTTTCCCTGTTGATTTTTCTTCTCATTAACACACCTGGTGAAGGAGAAATTATATGACAAATCTTGCTAATTAGTGTACAAATACTATCTCATTTTGAAGGGCTTAGATCCCTTCTTAGACTTTGTAAATACAGGACTCCTTTATACTCTTAAAATTTGGAATTCCCTACTAGCTTTTATTTGTGTGGGTTATATAACTATTGTTATATAATATAGCTATTATTGCATTACAAATTCAAACTGATAGAAGCAAAAGCATGAATTTTGGTCTCTGACTAAACTATAACGTGTTGTTATAATAAAAAATAAACTGAAAATTCATACTGAAAACTTTAAAAAATATTTCATTAAAAATGCCAACAAGAAACTATTACATCATCATATAAATAACTTCAATGAACAAATACTTTAAAAGCAAATATAATGAAAATAACTGGGTTTTGATTTTGTTTGCTTTGTATTTTTACTCATCTGATTAATAAAAGACAATCAGATTTTCCTGTTTTATATTTCATTCATTTGGTATCTTAAATCATGTAATCTCAGGAAAAGGCCTCTGTGTGCATGTATGCAGTGCACAAGAAAGAGCAGAATCGTGTTAGTGCACTTGTGGACACTGTCTGCAGTGGCTTAGACAGTGAGGGTTCCCTGGGCTACATTTTGAAAACTGCTCCCCTAGTGGACTATACTCATAATTACAAGACCTGAACTAAGTTAATATTTAAGAGCAATTTATCTTAAATATTTCAATTATAACTTTAAACATTTGGGCCTCTTAGTGTCAACTTGCTTCAAGAAGCAAGCAGTATATTCCCACATGAGCCAGTGAGTTTTGGAGTACATATATGTGTGTGTTGGGAGCTAATTTGCAGTTACAAAACAGGTATGTAAATAAAAAGAACAAAAAAATAAGTTGAAAAAAAAACAGGTATGTAATTAGATCAGTGACTTAAAATAAAAACCAGTACAATCTAGGTAAACACCAATTAGAAAGAAAAGAACAAGACAGTTTTGTTCAGTCTGAATTATTATAGTTTCTTATCATTTCATGCATTTTTGAAGTATGAATTATCCTTTTGTGGTTGAACCATTTAAATATTTTAGTACTGTGTTACATATTTTAAAATGTCTAAAGAGTGTCCATCCTTAGGCATACTAAAAAAATCGCTTTCTACGATAGTGGCTTGTTTTGGGGTTCTGGAAATTGCACCCAGGGTCTTGTGTGTGCCTGACAAGTATTGTGCCACCAAGGCTCCTTTCTATCCTTCATAAAAGATGTTTTCTATGGAAGTGTTTATTCTGAGCACTAGTCATCTTCTGTTTTGCTTTTTAAATCAGAGGGAAAGACAGCTAAAAACATGAGCAAGATCAAACAGGACTTGCAATAAAATTTTAAGGACATTGTGGGATGCCTCATCTGGCAGGAATTGTTTTGATATGAGTCCAAGTTTAGTTCTTTTTATTTGCTCGACAAAAAGTAGGTCCCACTCCAGCAGTTTGTGAAAAGGTGAAAAACTTGCTGGCAGTGCTGCAAACAACTTGACTTGGTCTGAACAGCTGTCTAGACAAACCAGACAGCTGTTCCTGTCAGCTGTGAACTACCACATACAAATAACTTTGAATTCAAAAGTTAACCCTTTGCTACTCTGTCGTTTTAGTAGTTTATGAGTGTAGCTGTTTGTATTTAAGCAATTTATAAACAATTTTAATTTGTGGCAAAAAACATGACTTAATCTTAATTTGAGTTTTGCTAAATTTAGCTTTACTTATGGATTAATTACTAAATTTAATCTCTTTTTTCATTAGATATCATTATTATGCTAGATTTCTGTAAATAAATATACGGGAGTGAGACTTAAATTTATTGACCATATCTGAAATTTAAGTGATTTTGATTGTATTCTGCTCTTCAGAAGTTTACAAAGTTGTTAGTTTTTCTTTTGTTCCTACTCTTCTGGGAGAACTTTTCTGATCAGGATTCTGGTGCTCTGCTCTCTGAATATTGTCATTCTTAGCTCTCTGCTTTGCTATCTTTTCCACACATAGCATATCAGGCACCACTTCACCTATGATTTTTCAGTTTGCATTTAGCACAGAACACTCCACACTCTCCAAACCTCATAATCTGCATGTTTCCTGGGTGTTTCAGTGTGAAAGGCACACTGGCATCTGATGTTTAAACATACTTTAGCAGAGGTCTGTCTTTCTTGCTCACTTGTGCCTTTTATGCTTATTTGGTGAATGGTCTATTTGCCTCCGTGGGTGTCCATCTCTCCTCCCCTTGACTCCTTTCTCTGCAGAGGTGGTAATCTGTTTGTAATTGTATGGTACCATTTAGATTGAAATACATATTCAATTATGAAGGGAATGCTTCCTCGTGCTAAAACCAGTAGATCATGAATCTATATATCACAAGAATTACTTGTTTAACATGAGTTTTATATGACTCCTATTTCAGAAAACAAATTAATCCTTGTTCCCGGGACAGTTTTTTGATTTGTTTTGAGATTGCCAGCACTAGCGCTCTCATTAAGCACATTTTTCTTTTGTGTTGTCATCTCTCATCCAGGAATGAAAGGTCATCTGATTCCTGTGTGGAGCAAATTATGTAACAAGTTTCTCTTGTCCCATCCTGCACTGTTTCTGCTGTTGGTAGAATCTGGCCCTAGGCATCTCAGTGAATTTTGATTACCAGGTTAAGAGTCAAAGAATGACAGCACAGAATTGTGCTTTTAAGATAAAGAGCTTAAAAGAATATATTCAAGAGTATGCAACCAAGACATGCATACAATTTTGTGTGTTATACTTGGTAAAGCTTAAATTACATTGGAATATAGGTTGAAGTGTTTTTTGTTTCAGTCCAGGGATTGGCAAACTCTTTCTTTATATTATCAGGGACCACAGTTAATATTTTAGGTTCAGCATACAATATGGTCATATTCAACTCTGTCATTGTAGTGAGGAGCCCTAAATTAAAAATAAACAATCAAGCCAGGCGGTGGTGGCGCACGCCTTTAATCCCAGCACTTGGGAGGCAGAGGCAGGTGGATCTCTGTGAATTCAAGACCAGCCTGGTCTACAAGAGCTAGTTCCAGGACAGGCTCCAAAATCACAGAGAAACCCTGTCTCGAAAAACAACAACAACAACAAATAAAACAAAACAAAACAAAAAAAATTAAGTAAGTCATTTAACTGTAATTTTTAGAGCTGTTATAATGGTTTAAATATCTTTACTTGATCTTAAGAAGCTAAGAGGCTAAGATTAGTGGAATCAGTTAACAAGGATTTACTCTGTTCACTGTGTCCCATACTGTACTAGTGAATGCATTTTAAAAAAACAAGGACATCCTTGTGTCAAGTAATTTATAAATGATTGATAGACTCAAAACCAACATAACCTGAAACAAATATAGAGTACAATGCTTCATAAAAGAAAGAGGAGGGCTAGAGCGCTTCTGTTAGATGCTGGTGAGAAATAGCAAATGGCTAGTCAGTATCATGCATGAAGATGAATAGCTGCTTTATAATTTCCTGGCATTTCCTGTTCCATTTTACTATCAGAACATAGAAATGAAATCTTTAATGTCTGAAAATTTAGTAATACAGAAGTTAATAAGAGATATTCTGAGAACTTTAGATAAAACACTGTAGTAGGTATCAGTATTACATCATTCAAGTAAGGTCTCGTTGCCACTTAAGTAGACTTATGTATTAAATACAAATTTTATTGTAACATGTAGTATCAATAGCAGTGGCGTGGGATAAAATGAAATTCAAAAAGATCAAATGGTCTCAGAATTTAAGCATCTGCTCCATGTCATGTAGGTGATATTTAGGATGGGTGATAGGTACACTTGTTGGTTTTCAAAGTGTGCAACTGTTTGCTTTCGCTAAGGCAGCATCTATATACTGGGTTGAACTTGTCTGCTAACTTTAGCAAGAAGCTGTGGTGAGGCATAGTTAGCATAATACAGATGACTGTCGTCGTTGCTGTTTTTAGCAGAAGCAGTATGTCTGACTGGCTAGCATCTGTTTTCTCTCCTTGTCATAATATGCTGGAGATAGTTCAATTTTTAAAATGCAGGTAGCCCTCAAGTAAAAATTTATTATGTTTAAAGTCATGACCTATAATGTCGGTTGGACTGAAGGACGATTTTCAGGTTTCGTTTAACTGAGGAGTTAATTTTTTAGAAATGTCCTGCTACAGTGAATTTTTCTCTTACCTCATTCGACATGGTTTGCACGTGACCCCTACAAAAGAAGAATTTGTTTTTATGGATTAGTGATTCTTTCTAACAGGTACACCGAAAAATCAGAGAAGATTCAGATATGGCACAGGATTCTCTGCAGTGCCTTGCCCAGTTAGCTTCTCTACACGGACCCATCTTTCCCGATGAAGGATCCCAGGTTGATTATCTAGCACACTTCATTGAGGGATTGCTGAACACTATCAATGGGTAGGTATGCTCGTTCTTTTGAACAAAGAGGGAACCTCCCTTTTCCTCTGGTATTTCATATGGAGGAAAAAAGAAACTAAGGCCTTTTCTGTTCTGTGTTTTGAAGTGGAGTTGTCTGTCTATTTGAAATTAATACAGGCACATGCCTTTACAAGTGAATGATGATAATATTTTTGTGTTTGAAAATAGAGCTTATTTTGTACTGCTAAATAGCCCTCATGATTTGGTTGTAGAATCGAAATAGAAGATTCTGAAGCTGTGGGAATCTCCAGCATTATCAGCAATCTGATAACCGTGTTCCCTCGGAATGTCTTAACTGCCATCCCCAGCGAACTTTTCTCCTCCTTTGTTAACTGCCTCACACATCTCACTTGTTCTTTTGGGCGAAGTGCTGCGTTAGAAGAAGTGGTGAGTGACTGTGCTAAGAGCTGTCTGTGTCTGCTTGTCACAGGAAATTTGTGCTGCCTGTAGAACATTGTCTCATGACATTTATTGTTATTGAGTACTAGTAGCTACTGTGAAAGTTACATTTTATATGTAAATTAGTGGCAGTGTATATGGAAACATGACCTAAATTTTTGTAGATTTAAATTAGTCTTGGAAATTATAATTTTGAGATAATTAGAATGAAATGTTTTTGTTAAATTATACTGATTAGCCCATGTTTAACAAGTATACCAAATACTGCTAAATAACTTCATGGTTGGATGTAATTATGTGTAAATTAAATTTTATCTATGTTATTTTGATATTTTTATTTAGGACTTATTTGGAAAGTATGTGATGTGTACTATTTAAAACTGAATTTGGTAAGCCCTAATTTACATTCAAATTAAGACTGGTAATAATGTGAATGATTTTTTTGGGACAAGTACAAATTTTCAGGTGCTTTCCAGTTTTTATTTTTAATTTAAGGAAATACACACTAAAACAACACGGCTGCTTTGTAACAGTTACTAATAACTTGAGTAATCACTGGAAACAGTTGACTTGTTTGTACAAGGTAGTGACTTGATGGTTGGAATTGATTTTTCTTGTTATAAATTGAAAGGAGGTTTTTAAAAAACAATTTTAAAAGGGAAAATACTTTGTGTGGATGCCTCTTAGAATTTCATGTTTAATCCTGAGTTTACATCTTACTCTGGCAATGTTTCGCAGTTTGTAAAGCTTCCAACGTATTCAAGGAATCTGGGAATGATTGTGTTTATGTAATTAGGGTCTTTTAAGATTTAATGAGAGGTTTGTGATGGAAAATTATATATTAGATGAGTAGAAGTTCTTCGACATCATACGTGAGATTTTGCATTTTTCAGGATGGAATTTCTGTTTTAAATATGAAAGTCCATGTTGAAGTTAAGTGTCTCAGCGTTAGTCAGAGCTCTTTGACAGGCTCGGACTGAAACGTGGTTTCATGTGACAGACTTTATTGTGTTCTCCTGGTTTTTCTCTGTGGAGTGAGATGGAGTCAGGATTTAGCATGTTAGTCGTCTTTTTAGACATACAGCTACCTTCAGCTTCTCGAAGAGGGTTCTTACATTTAGCAGACTGGCTAGAAAATATGTAGTATTTTTGGCTTGAAATATTTATCTTTGAAATTTATTTATTTTGAGCAAGAGGCTTTCTGTCAAAATTGGGTGTAGGAGAGTAGGAATCTAAGATGATAGATCCACTTTATCAGCTTTCCTCCTGCAAAGACATGCTGTGCTTAAAGTTAGGGTGCACCTAATAGGTTTCATTGAAGAAAGTGGCTGTTTGTGTCTTTTAATTCTCTCAGTTTAACTGTATTTAGCGGTTATTTTTAAAGGCAGCTGACTACTAGTTCTATAGGACAGAAAGAGAAAAGCTGAAGCTCTACATCAATTGTGGAGGGTACATTCGGGAGGCGTGGGAAGGTTGGAGTATGGCCCTGTCATGTGACTTGCATGATTGCTAAACAGATTTCCCAAAATGGCAGTTAAATCTTCATGTTTGGTCATCTTGTACATCCTGGGGATTCTTCAGCTATTAGCTGAAGGTCGAGAGCAAACCCAGCCAGGACAGACTGATGTAGGATTACCAGAGGGCTCTTACTTCTGTCACCTTTGTTCTTTTGACTACCAGGTAGTTTTAGTGCTAGTTCACAGTGCATAGTTGTTCTGAGCTGGAAATCAAATCATATTTTGAGGAAATTGAGCATTTGAATAAACAGCTTAGGAGTTCACATGGTGTGGAATGATGACACATTTGGAGGGACAGTGGTCACACGCTGAGTGATCATAAACACAGACTGCTTAGGATGACCTTTGGGTTACTTTTTCAACTTCGTTTAGTATGTTTTCTTCTTGGCAAAATCAGGGTGACAGGTTTTTTTGTGATGCTTTTTTTTCTCCTGGTTTGTCTTTCTGTTTTGTGGCGGGACAGGATGAGTTTTGAGAGGGTCTGGATATGTAGCAGAGGGTCTCACTGTGTTTCCTGCCTCTACCTCTGGAGGTAACAGACTGTATTCTACCATACCTGGCTTCTTTTTGAGGGAAAAATGCCTGTGTGAGATCAGCCTTTACTCAATGAGAGTGAGTCTCAAAAAGGAACTTCTTAAAAAGTCCCCTTTAAAATAGGGAGCAGAGAGCAGCAATACTCTAGGAGATGGGGCTATAGCTGGGCCTTCTGTTGTGGATGACTGATGACTAAGAAGGCACCCGTCGTGCTTACACCTCTTCCGCCTACAGAGCTGTAGGGAAAGTGGACTTGAGACACAGGGGTATTTTTTATGCTTTGCATGTTGGAAGAATACCTCTTCCCAAATATAATGATAATTTTGGCTCTATAAGAATATTTAGAAAAAATTTAGCTATTGTATATTAGATACAGATTATTATTTAAAAGTATTGTAAGAATTCCTTGCAAAAAAAAAATTTAAAAAAAAAAAGAATTCCTTGCAAAGCTGGGTATGGTGGTGCCTGTCTTTAATCCTACACTCAGGAGGAATGATTCCAGGACAACTAGTGCTACACAGAAAATCCCTATCTTGGAACAACAACAAAATAACAAAAAAGAATTGCTTGTTTGGTTTAACTCAACTTGGATCACAGATCTTACAATGCAGTGACTTTTGGCTTGGATATGAGTCAATTTTAATGTTTTAAATAGGCATTTTAAGTCTTGCAAGAATGTATTATTGTGCAAGTATTACATTTAGAGTAAAGCTTATTTACCATCTCAATGTTTTTTAATATGGTATTGTTCTATTTTAAAATGTTGTATTTATTTTATGTGCATTGGTGTTTTGTCTGCGTGTATGTATGTATGTGTGAGGTGTCAGATCTCTGGGAACTAGAGTTACAGACAGTTGTGAGCTGCTATGTGAAATTAATTGTTCACATCAGTTTCATTGCATGTTTTTATGTACATGACCATACTTAGGAAAATAGCCGGGGACTGTGTGGTTACTTGAATAAGAATGGCCCCCATAGGCTCTTGTGTTGAAGTGCATAGTCATTAAATGCCACTACTTCAGAGGGGTTAGGAGGCATGTCATTAGGGGTGGACGGTGGGGTTTTAAAAAGCACAAGCCAGGCCCAGTGGCCATCTCTTCCTGCTGTCTGTGGATCCAGATGTAGAACTCTCAGCTATTTCTGTAGCATCATGTTTGCCTGCATGTTGTCATGCTCCCCACCATGATGATGGTCCGAACCTCTGAAACTGGAAGCAAGGCTCAGTTAAATGCTTTCTTTATAAGATTTGGTCACGGTGCCTCTTCACAGCAATAGACCGTTTAGTCAGGGTGGTAATATAGCTCGGTGTATGAGCACTTGCCCATCTTGCCTAAGGCCTTGAGTTCACAGTTTATGACTTTGAAAATGGGGTGGTGTGAATAAAGGAAGTAAAAGACGTTTGATATTCAATAGAAAGTGCTTTCTAGCCAGGCAAATACCAGTATCCAGAATTCAGGGGCAGAGGGTCTCTGAAACTAGGCCTGCCTGGTTTACTTAAGATCCAGGACAGCTTACAGGGCTTCATAGAGAGACCCTCTCTCAAAAAAGAAGAAAGTGCTTTCTGATTCCTTGGGGAAAATTTGGATCTGTCGTATTGGTTATTTACTCTCTATGGGAAAAAAAAAAGCACAGGGGTGTGGATTGTGGATAGTGTCATTACTATTAGGGATAGATTGGGAGTTGTTTGCCAATTATAAGCAAATTTGTAACTACCTTAGTATGATGTCTATTTGTATACTTTCAAAATAGCTTATACTAGATATATATAAATAGGTAGTGGGGGCTAGAGAGGTGGCTCAATGGTTAAGAGTGTTGCCTGCTCTTCCAAAGGTCCTGAGTTCAATTCCTGGCAACCACATGGTGGCTCACAACCATCTGTAATGAGGTCTGGTGCCCTCTTCTGGCCTGCAGACAGAACATTGCATACATAATAAATAAATAAATAACTTTTTTAGGAAAATGAATAGGTAGCGATATAAAGACTATATTTAATGTACCTCTAAGTTCACAGTGAAAATATAGAATGACGGGGGCTGGAGAGATGGCTCAGCGGTTAAGAGCATTGCCTGCTCTTCCAAAGGTCCTGAGTTCAATTCCCAGCAACCACATGGTGGCTCACAACCATCTGTAACGAGGTCTGGTGCCCTCTTCAGGCATACATGCAGACAGACTATTGTATACATAATAAATAAATAAATATTTAAAAAAAAAAGAAAATATAGAATGACCTCATACACTTCTCTCCTTACCATCAATCTGCCCCATCAAGCCTAGAACATGGTGGTATATGTATTATTATTGGTGCGTCTGCATTGACACATGGTTGTTGTGAGCCCAGACATGCATTCCATAGAGCTTATTTCTGCTGGTGTAAATTCCTTATTTATTTATTTTTAATGTATTTATTTCTATAAACAGGGTCTAAATGTAGGTTCTGGATGTCCTGGAACTCACTACGTTGACCAGGCTGTCTTAGAACTCACAGAGATCAACCTAATTCTGCCTCCTGAGTGCAGGGTTTAAAGGCATGCACCACCACCACCTAGCTCCAGTTGCTCTTTTTTAATACAACATCTAAAATAGAAATAAGGGGCTAGTGAGGTGACTTAGTGGGTAAAGGTCGCTTGACTGCTGTAAAAATCCTCTGTGCTTCACCTGTTTATCCTTCTACACCAGGCTGTGGAGACCCCTGGGCGATCTTTGTTCTTCCCTCCTCTTGTCTCCTCTTTCCGCTCTCCACTCTACTTTTCTCTCCCCAGCTGTTTTCTCTGCCTCTGCCTCCCAAGTAGTGGGATTTAAACATGTGCACCACTGTGTCCAGCCCTACTGCTCTTATTATTGTCCCTGTAATCTTCATCTCAGAATGTCCTCTACTTGGAATCATGTAATACTACTGAGCTTTAATCTCTGAAATTACATTCATTGTCAGGCATGGGCCAGAGCAGATTTTCTGTACCGAAAGAGTTCTTTCCAGACATTCATTTGAGAGAACATTTCATTATTTTTGGAATTATATATTCAAAATTGTCAAAGCATAAATGTACATTTTTCTGTGTTTGAAGCACTTCATATCCATGCTTCTCTACACCTTCAGGCCAGTTATAGGCAGAGAGAAGTACTGATAATCATGTTTTTATTTCTACTCCCCCTTCAAATTCAAATAGAGTAAAGTGGGGTCAAGTAGGTCCCATAAGCTCTAAGCCCCTCTCGAAAGCCTCTGGCAGTAGGCCTACAATGCTCAGAGCATGAGCACATAGTGTCTAGATTGGTCTTCTTAGTCATCTGTCCACATGCTGCCAGCCAGGCTGCTGGCCGGGCTCCTGGGTTTGGGCCAGAGTGGCCATGGAGCAGAGCCAAGGTATTATGAAAAAGCACTAGCTTAGGTTTCACTTCTCTGGGATTAGACTGGAAGATCCAGTTGCCAATTGTTATCAACCAGATTTCTCACACTTTGCCTGATGAGTTACTTTTTTTGGTATACGTAGAGAACCAGAGTTTTCTGTTTTTGTTTTTCTTTTTTCAAGAAGCTCCGTCTTTATTTTAAATCGCCATCCAGTGTGTAAGGGACTTGTGCATTCTGTTTGAGATCATTCTAATATCAGCACTTAATAAAGGCATTGTGAAGAATTCCTTTAACAATATGCACGTGAGGCTTTAACTTTTAAAAACTACTTTTACATTTTGATGCATACCTTAAATATGCACTTAGAAAAATGATAGTTGATCTTTAAGAATGTCCTGCATTTCTCTTTGTGAGTCTGGTTCAGGGGATGCTCCTCCTCAGTCCCATTAGACATGTTTATTTTGGCAAGATAAACTGTTAAGACCTGACAAATGATGTCTGCGAGCACATGCCTTGTTAAGTATACAAACAAGCCGCAGTTGTTTCTATGGGAAGAACGTATCCTGTTCACTTCAGGATTCCCGTGCTTAGCTCTCAGCATTTGATGAAATGTAGAAGGAACAGAGCTCCCTTTCCCATTGTTTATAACCGATATTGTCCTTTGGCTTTTTAGCACTGGTTTGTTCATTTGTTTTGTTTTGTTTTTTTTCTGACTTTTTAAAAGTAGTATATACTAACAAAACAGAACAGTTTTTACATGTGCTCAACATACTTTGACCATATTTACCTGAGACACTGCCAGACAATGTGGCTTTCTTTAAAACAACAACAACAAAACGGTTTGGTATCATGTGCTTTCGTTGCATGTAGTACAGTGGCTTTTTGCTGCAGATAAGAGGGAAGCCTGATTGCCTGAGCCTCTCGATACGTTCCTTCCTCCCATCCCACTCCGTATGCAGGGCATTGGCATCTTCTGCTATGGTTCCAACTTATCCACGCCTCCTGGTCATTGCAGCTTTTTAAGTACAGTGTCCTTCAGCAGAATATTAGCTAGGGAGGGCTTTTCTACCACAAATAACTCTGTAGTCTGTTATTTGTGTGTCTATTTCTTGAGAAATTCTTTGTCTCAATGGTGTAGTTTTGGTCTCAACGTGTAACTGAGAAATAGTAGCTATTCGTGAACAAGAAAAAACGGGAAATGAAAATTAATTAATAACTGTGTGAACTAGTTAAGACCTTGGCAGTCTGTGCAGCATGGTGGTCTTACCAGTGGACGAATCTGTGGGATGGTTGTGGGCAGAGGCTCAGCTGGAGGATGGGTAAGGAAAGGTCTGGCTTCTTCTTGGTTTGTTTGTTTGTTTTACCTGCTCATTCCGTTTTCTAGTTTAGTACATATTTTCCTTGGTAGTAAAGAACTTTAATGAAAAGGAAGAACTTACAGAGATCCACTTGCTTCTGCCTTCTGGTGCCAGGATTAAAGGTGTGCTCCATCAGGCCTGGCTTCATCTTTATAGTCTTAAGTACTTAGCTAACTCTGGTGCTGGGATATCTTTGACAGTTTCTGATAGTATGAGCTGAGTCAGTGGCCATTGTTTTTGTTGTTGCTGTTGTTTGTTTGTTTACTATATTCTCTCCTAGTATGTGGAATTAGCTGTCCTTTTTTATTAAAATAAATTCTTTCTTGTTAAGGAACTTCTGTGACGTTTTCCCCATATAATTCTTAGCTACCTGATTAGGTCAGTTTGTTTTTACTGATTTTGAAGTTACTTGAAAATGTTGGGCTTGAAATTTGTAGCCCAGCGGTGGAGTGCTTGCCTGGTATACAGGAGGCTCAGGATTCTATCTCAGTACTGGAAAAACATATGCAGAAGAAGTATTTATTTATTTATTTATTTATTTATTTTGGTTTTTCGAGACAGGGTTTCTCTGTGGCTTTGGAGCCTGGTATACAGGAGGCTCAGGATTCTATCTCAGTACTGGAAAAACATATGCAGAAGAAGTATTTATTTATTTATTTATTTATTTATTTATTTATTTATTTTGGTTTTTCGAGACAGGGTTTCTCTGTGGCTTTGGAGCCTGTCCTGGAACTAGCTCTGTAGACCAGGCTGGTCTCGAACTCACAGAGATCCGCCTGCCTCTGCCTCCCTAGTGCTGGGATTAAAGGCGTGCGCCACCACTGCCCGGCCTGAAGTATTTTTATATGTGTGGTGTATGTGCAATTTTCTTAGTTTTTAAAGTAGTCAATATTACTTTCATTTAGAAAATACATTTTTCTTAAAGCACTGATCAGTCAGTCTTTTAAATTAAATGTTAATTTCATATTGCCAAATAATTATTTCTTTTGTAATTTAGTAAAATTTTAGAAAACTTAATAAATGCTTGATACTTAGAGATACTTTTCTTCTAGCGTGATTTTTAAAATTGTTTTTTGTGCATAGCTATGTAACTCTTGCACTGCCCGTTTGTTTTATGAATGCTCTTTTCTTTTAGCTTGATAAGGATGACATGGTATACATGGAAGCATATGATAAATTGCTGGAGTCCTGGCTAACTTTGGTCCAAGATGACAAGCATTTCCATAAAGGTTTTTTTACTCAGCATGCAGTTCAAGTTTTCAATTCCTATATTCAGTGCCACCTTGCTGCTCCAGATGGCACAAGGAATTTGGTAAGTTTTAAGACAGGTGGAGTGGAAAATCACCATAGGCCCTATCATATTAGACAATGAAAATACTAGAAATTTTGGATAGGTTTCCTCAAAGATTTGCTGAGAGAAAAGTTTCTTAGTTTTATCTACTGGGTTCTTTAAATGTGAGCTATTACATATAATCACCTATTTATGTTTCCAGTTAGTTACTTCTGTACTGCCAGGTTCCTGGTAATGTCTTTTCTATTAAATATCCTATATTAATAACATCCTATATTCAAAGGTCTAGGGAATCTTAAGATGCCAAATTGTTTTAATGAAAAATGGAAATCCCAGTATACGGGGTGAAGTGTAGGTTTTGTAGCTAGCTATGTTACCGTGTACACAGGGGGGGATTTTTTTTCTTTCCTTCTCTTCAGTGCTGTCCTCCTCCTTTTGATGGATACCGGGGCTGCTGTCGTGGTTAGAAAGGTGTCCTAGAAAGCTGGAAATGCATGTTGGCTCTGTCCAGCTCCTCCTAAAGCCACGTGACAGGGCCATCGACACAGGCCTTGCGGAACACGGTGCTGCATTTCCTCATTGTCTCTCCTCCTTCCACCAAATAGACTGCCAATGGTGTGGCCTCTCGTGAGGAAGAAGAAATAAGTGAGCTGCAAGAAGATGATCGAGACCAGTTTTCTGATCAATTAGCCAGCGTAGGAATGCTAGGAAGAATTGCTGCCGAACACTGTATGCCTCTTCTGACAAGGTACACACAGTCCCGGAAACCCCATGGAGAAGTGCTCTCTGTTCACAGTGACCTAGAGAGCTTTAAACATCCCCCACCCTGTGTCCAGCACACTGGATCCAGTGGACAAAAGCGTGTCGTAACTGCATTCCTTGGCAGTAAAATTGCAGCTCAGGCACTACAACATAGATGATAGGGATTATGGAAAACATGGCATGAGAAGTGACTTGGAACAACCAGTTTCAGATGCCTTTCATAAACATTGTTTGTGTGTAAAGTGTTATTTTAATTCTATGTCATAGAATAGAGATTACAATCCTCTAGTGCACTTGAACAGTTGTGTACCGTAATATTTTTTGAATGGGTATATTTTGTGCAAAGGTATATTTTGTGCAAACATCTTAGTTTAGCCGGGCGGTGGTGGCGCACACCTTTAATCCCAGCACTCGGGAGGCAGAGGCAGGCGGATCTCTGTGAGTTCGAGACCAGCCTGGTCTACAAGCGCTAGTTCCAGGACAGGCTCCAAAGCCACAGAAAAACCCTGTCTCGAACCCCCCCACCCCCCCCCCCAAAAAAAAACCTTAGTTTATGTTATTTGGTTATATGGAATTTATCAATTTTCCTAAGCCTTCCTATCCTGAACTTTATGAAGTTATTGTTTCTTTCCTCTTTTAGTTTATTAGAAGAAAGGGTAACAAGACTCCATGGTCAGTTACAACGACATCAGCAACAGTTACTGGCTTCCCCTGGATCGAGCACCATTGACCACAAAATGCTTGATGATCTCTACGAAGATATTCACTGGCTTATTTTAGTTACAGGTTAGTTACTTCTTTCTTCTTAAATGTAGTTGCCAGTGAACCCATTTAAACCCTAAAAGAAGCCTCATATATTAAGAATAATAGTTTATAGCTGGATGTGTAATTTCAGCACACTTGGGAGATTGAGATAGCAGGGTTGTGAATTTGAGGCCAGCTTGGGCTACTAGGGAGACCCAATCTCAAACAATAATAAAATATATATAGTTCATACATATTGTTAAATAAAACTTAGATACAGCTGTACTGACATAGATATAGATATATTTTTAAAAACCACTGGCTGTCATATTCAGGGCCTGTTGTATGACAAATGTTTCCTTTGGATCTCATTGTAGCCCACTGAATTAGTATTGCTGAGTGGTGCTAATCATCATCATCCCCGACTAACATGGAGAAGCTCAAAGTATAAGAAATGGTCATACTGTGGTTAATTTTTAGAGCCAGAATGCAAATCTAGGCAGTTTGACTTTTAGGGTCTTTTCCTTGACCACTAGACCTAATTAGTGTTTCTATATTGTAATCAAGGGGGAAAAGACTTGACTTTTAAATAGTTAAGTATGAATAGATTCCTGATACAATTCCCATTAACTTGACAGAATAAATTACTCAAGTTTTCAAAGCCTACATGTCACCATGCATTATGAGATTGATGACTAAAACATTTGTCCTTTACCTTTGCTGTATTTTTGAGGGTTTTCATTTTCTGAGAAATTGACAGTTTCTGCACCTCATCTTGAATTAACAAGTTAACATAATTTACTTTTACATCAACTTATGTGATGTATATAAATCAAAACTGAAAGCATTTATAGTGCAATTTGGTAAATAGATTTGTTAAGTGTTCATTTTTAATTTTTTTTAAACTGAAGGCTACCTCTTAGCTGATGATACTCAGGGAGAGACTCCGCTAATACCTCCAGAAATAATGGAATATTCCATTAAGCATTCATCTGAAGTTGACATTAATACAACACTTCAAATTTTGGGATCTCCAGGAGAAAAGGCTTCTTCCATCCCAGGGTACAGCAGAACAGATTCTGTGATTAGGTAATATGAACTCTATAGCTGCGCTCTTGTAATTTATGCTGTCTCATAAACTCTGAGTTGATGGGTAGATGACTGGAGGGGTAGGCACGCTGCAAACTGGATACATGAAAGAAATGAGAACTTGGAGAAGCCTCGAGACATAAGGAAGGCAAGGGCATGCTGGCAGGAATTGTCAGGGCTATCTAGTACTGAAAAGAACAAATGTAAAATGATTCTGAATACGACACTTGGAAGTGGCATTCGCTCTAATTTACTAAGAACACAGTGTTTGTCTATCAGTAAGCAGTAATATATTTGTATAAGCACCCTTCAGGAGGGAAAAACAGTTCCTAGAAACCAGATGAGCCTTAGCAAGTATACTTTGAGTATGCATATGGAAACTGTGTTCGTGGCTTCTTAAAACTGTCATTATTGTATCATAGAAAAAGTTATCCTAAATATGTGAAACTTGAGAGCCCGGTCCCCAGCATTTACAAGACAGCAAGAGTGCCTCTGAGAGGATTCACTTTGTCTTCCTATTAGTAATGGCAATGTTTCCATCAATTATTGATGATGAAGTTAAAGAGGGTAAATCTGAATTAATTGTAGTCTTAGAAATAGATTTGGATATGCTTTTACATTTTCTTTCATTGTCTTTGAGTCTTAGTTGCTGGTAGAGATTGTAGGGATGACAACGGCATCAGTTGGTTTTTGAAGTTATTCACGGTTTTGTCCCACTTTTATTTTTTAATGCAAATATGTGTGGGCATTTAAAGCTCTGCAATAGAAGATATGGTTTTCTGTTTTCTTTAAAGTTCGAATAATAAGCTGATACCAAGGAAATGTTTGGGGCCTTATTTCCTTTATTGGTACATTCTCTTGTTTGCCCTAAATATCGGAATTCTTAAGCAAAGGTTTCTTTCTTTTGAGGTTACGGTTGTGATTAGATTTTGTTATTTTGTTTGGTACATATCCTGGTGAATGTTATTTCTAGGATTGTTCATTTCAGAGCTCTGCCGTGGCTGCTTTGTCCTAATTCTTGCAGTAAGTGCCATTAGAAACATTTTCCTTGTATTAAAAGTACTTTTTCAGTTTTTACACGTCCCAGGTATCTGTGGGAGCAAATCATTTTCATATTTGAGAGCACAAATTTGAGGAGTGTTAAAAAATATATATATATAAACCGAGTGGTGTTGGTGTATGCCTTTAATCTCAGGGCTAAGGAGGCAAAGGTAGGCCTGTGAGTTGGAGGCCAGTCTGGTCTACAAAAGCTAGTTCCAGGACAGCCAGGGCTGTTACATGGAGAAACTCTGTTTCAGGAAGGGGCAGAGGGAGGGAGGAAAGAAAGAAAATGTAATAGCTAGTTTTTTTTTTTTTTTAAATCTAAAGAGTTAGTGTAAAATTGATTTGATATATGGGAGAAACAACCTTTGCTTCACTAAAAATGTAGTCCATATTTCTGAAGAAACTGTCATTTAAGAATGAATCAAGTATCTTCATAGGTTGAACACTTTGTGGGCCAATGGGATACATTCTTGAACAAAACAAGCAAAGTCCCCTCTGCTTTTAGAGTTCTTAGTAAGGGAGAGCAACTCAACAAGTGATGGGATGTGTTGGAGGACAGAAAGCATTGTGGGTGAAAAGCCAAGTAGGGCGGGGCAGCTGAACCTCAGACTCCTGCAGGGGCTGATATAATCCTAAGCAGTGTGATCCACGTGGCCTTTGTTTAGATGATTTCTGAGCAAGGATTGAGGTTGGTCAGGGAGTCTTGAAGGTGCCCAGGGTAAGAGCATTCTAGGCAGAGCAAAAATAAAGTAAAATAGCTAATGCAAAGACCAGTCAATCCTGGTGTTCTTGCACAGCAGCCAAGATGCTAGAGTGGAGTGGGTTTTGTAAGAGATGACTTGCGGAAATAAGTAAGGAGGGAAAGAGCAATAGTCTATACGTCTTGTAAGACACCTTTGTGCTGCAGAAGATGTGGGTGCTACCATAAGGTCTGAATGGGGGATAAGTCACACATCACAGCACATTCCCTGATTACCATGATTAGAGTGCATATTGGAAGTGGGGAGACTGCCTCCGGGTCTAGTCATGGTTATCAAAGAGAGATATGGCAATGTTCAGGCTACGTTAGGGCAGTGTTCCTTATAAGACTAAGTTAAGGGCTAACTCATCATGATAACTTCCGATTTATGGGATGCAAATGTAATACAGGACCAATTTGGGAAACTGAGTGCTGCCTGGTATATAACATATTCATGACAGGATGCTTGACTCAGGTACTGATCAAGAAATATTAACAATTAAAAAGTATTTGGCTCAGTTGTTTCTTCAACTCCAGCTTTTGATGGGATTTAAGAGTAAGTACATCAGGGTGGCGGGAGAGACAGAGTGTCAGGCAGTGAGAGGGAAAGAGGCAGGGGAAGAGAGCTTGTGTACCTGTGTGACTGACTGGGCTGGAGAGGCCTTGGGTCTCATAGGTGAGGCAAGGTGCATTTGCAGGAAGGAAGTAAACTGTTGTGTAGAGTTGCTGTCTTGTGGAAGGTGGAGGTAAACCTGACAGGGGCACTGTGGGAAGCAGTTGCTTTTCAGTCTTGGGAAGAAGATGGAAACTGGCCCTTGAGTTTTGAGAAGGGTTTCTGAGAGAGCTCTCCAGGCTACTGCTGATTTCTGGGCATGGTGTAGAGAAGGGAAGACTCCCTAGGGCTGCCTGACCTCTGCTGCTTCTACCCTTTCACCCTTCTTCACTAGATGAAAGCACTTGAGCTCACTCTCTTTATGGACTTGCAGTGTATGGGTGCCCATAGAGTATAAGGAAAAGGGCAGTTCCAGATTGCCTGTTGGTGATGGCTGTGTAGCCAGGATGCAGTTCATTGCATCACGTAACACCGAAAGGGGACCCAGTACTGGGTCAGCTGGGATGATCTTGAGTTTTGTCATATGACTTGTAAGTAATTCAAATAGTGGATAACCTTGGTGTTGGAAACATAACTTCTGTTTTTTAATGGGAGCGTTTTGTTTTGTTTTTCTCTCCAGTGTTTACATCTCTTAAATGAGAAAGGAACCAACTTGGGCTCAACTTTGACTCATTCTGACAATAAGTAATATTTATTCACAAGTAGATAAACTAAGTAGGAGACATAAAATCCTTCTGTATTATCCCCAAGAAATACTCAAAATAAGGCTGAGACTGTAGCTCAGTGGTAGACCACTTGCCCAGCCTGTACAAACTTCTGAATTGGAGCCCTGGCACTGGAGGAAATTGTTTCATAATTTAAATTTGTGTTACATTTTGTTCTCCTGTATGCTAAGTATTACAATAGTAATAAGTCAATCTAGAAGACTTAAAATACTTACAGTTTTATTATCATTGGAAATTCATGTGAAGTATAATATATAAATGTTTGTATCAAAGAAAAGCATGTAATTGGTAAATAATTTTCTTTGGGGAAATAAAAGTTCAAATAAAAGAATTTTATTTCTTTTGAATAAACAGTGACATTCAACACTGCAAAGATTGAGTTGCAGTACATACTTTTAAAGTACTAAATAACCATTTGATTTCGAATTCTGTTAGGCTTTAAATTATATTTAAAATTTTTTAATCTTAAGGGAAATTTATCAATGCATCATTATTGATAAAACATGAGGTTATTAGGATTTCTTTTATTTTTGTTCACAAATTTTGTTCTAAAATTTAGAAAGTTTGAGTACTGATTTATGAAAAACATGTAAATAGTGTGGGGGGGAGGTTTTTAGGTGGAAACTTTCCTGATTTAAGAAGGTCCAGAGAAGAATCTTTAATAAAGACTGGGAACAGTAAACAGATAGATGAGGGGGATGTGGGAAGTGATGCCCAGGCAGCCAAGGAAGGGAGCTCTTTCAAAGGGGCAGGGTGGACAATAGCACTGAGTACTTTTTAGTGAGAGAGGTCAGAGGGTCAATAAATAATGCACATGTCCACCAGTTTGCTTACACAGGATTTCAGCCCTCTTGAGAGCAGAGGCCAAACTGTAGTTATTAACATCTTAGTCTAGGCCTTGATGTTTATTACAACCTGTGCTTCCTTGTCTTTTGGCTAAAGTCAAGTTGAAATATATGATTTCTGGTATCTTACTTCCCCATTCCCATATGTGTACTTATGTAACCGTTCTGGGAAGGCTTATTTTAAGATACCGTTAGGAATAAAGATTATGAGACAGTATGCTGGGCCATGAGATTTGTAAACAAGGCTCAGTACTTATGACATTCTAATAAATCTATTCTCAGATCTTAAAGCATAACAGGACTTGTCTTTTGTGATACAAACATTTAACCTGCCTACTGGAAGAGTGCTGAAACGTGGGCTTAGACTATGAACATTTAATTCTGTGTGTTCCTCCATTTTGAACTGGGAGCCACTCTCTAGACAGTGATGCTGAGATTTACATCTGCAGTTATAGCCCGAGCAGACAGTGTTTCTCATCTCTCCTCTTTCTTGACTCTGGAAGACCAGAAATAGTGTGGGTACTTTATCTTTAACTCTATTGGGAATTTTTACACATAGCCTGGCATAAAGAAACAAAAGATTTTTATGAGGAAAAAAAAATAGGGTTAGCAACTTCTGTTTTCTCCCCACAGGCTGTTGTCTGCAGTGCTAAGAGTCTCAGAAGTTGAATCTCGAGCAATAAGAGCAGATCTCACTCACCTACTAAGCCCTCAAATGGGCAAAGATATTGTTTGGTTTCTAAAACGCTGGGCCAAGACTTATCTCCTGGTAGATGAAAAACTGTATGATCAGGTGAGGATGTAAAACTGGTAACTTTTTTTGAGTTTATGATGATGGCAAGTTTAGAGGTAAGATTTTTGTTTTATTTACAAGAACGGAACTGTTAACAGGGTTCAGTAGAGAGGCAGGTGGATCTTGGAGTTCAAGGCCAGCCTGGTCTCTACAGTGTTTCAGGACTCACAGAGAAACTCTGTCTTAAAAATAAAGAGTTGGGAGAGACTTGGGACTGAAGTGCTGTTATATTACTTTTCTTAGAGCATTGATTTGGTTCCATTGATGTATTAAGGTGCACCACCATTGATTAATATATTTATATATTGTCTGAGATCTGTATGTCTGTATTTATTTTGAATGTCAGCTTGTTAATAATTCCTATGAGACTTGAACTGACAGAAAAATTAGCTGAAAAGCTTGGATGGGTTGGGGATTATCTTTTTTATTCAAATGAAAAATGATAAAAGTGATATGAAGTGAGTACCCCCTCAGGCTTTGATGGTAGTTTTGGTGTAGATTTGCTTTTTAGATAGTCATTCTGATCTTAGAAAATGTATCTCTTCTCTTAAGATAAGTTTGCCATTGAGCACAGCCTTTGGAGCAGATACAGAGGGTTCCCAGTGGATTATTGGCTACCTCTTACAGAAGGTCATCAGCAATCTGTCAGTCTGGAGTAGTGAGCAAGACCTTGCAAATGACACTGTACAGCTCCTTGTCACATTGGTCGAAAGAAGAGAAAGGTAAGGAGTTGGGTGGAACACATATTTCAGTTTGCTCTTTAGTGACTAGCAAATTGTAGCAATATCTAAGCCCGATTAGAACCTATATTTCCAGAGTAGTGCTTTTAAAACCTCATCACAGTGTTGTTACAGATGCAAATGGCAGCTTACCCGTGTAATGGAGAACTGCATTGGCGGCTCTTCCAGAGGACCCTGATTTGATCCCAGTACACAAGTGGTAGCTCTCAACTGTATGTGACTCCAGTTCCAAAACATGCCCTTGTCTGGCCTGTTTGGATACCAGGCACACACAATTTTCCCAGACATATGTTTTGGCAAAACACTCAAACATATAAAACAAAAACCCCACTTTCATGTATTAATATTCTCATTTGATATTTTTTCAGTCCCCCATGTGCATACATATGTGCGTGTACACACACACACTCACACTTTTTTAGTTTTTTCTTTGAGACATGGTTTCTTTGTGTAGCCCTAGCTGTCCTGGACCAGACTGCCTCAACTCGGAGATCGACCTACCTCTGCCTTCCATGCTGGGATTGAAGGCATGTGCCGCCCCGGCTGACTCAGTAATTCCCATTTGAGCATTGCACATAAAAGATCTCTGGACAGAGACTGCTCTTTGTTCCCAGCCGCCCAGACCCAAATAATCACACAGAAACTACATTAATTGCAACACTGCTTGGTGTATTAGCTCAGGTTTCTTATTAACTAACTCTGAAATCTTAAATTGACTCATTTCTATTAATCTGTGTATCAGCAGAAGGCTGTAGCTTACTGGTAAGGGTCCTAACATTCCGTTATGTCCTTCTCCTTCGGCAGCTACATAGCCCGCTATGTGGCATCTCCCTGACTTTGCCCACTTTCTCTTTAACTCTGGATATCCCACCTGGCTTCACTCTGCTAAGCCATTGACCAAAACAGCTTTATTTATCAACCAGTAAAGCAACATATATACAGTAGGACACCCACATCAGATCTCATTTGAGCATGAGATTCAGAGCTGACTGTACCTGTCACCTTGCTTTCCCCAGAGAACCTGACTCTACCTCTTCCAAATAGAGAGAACACCAACAGACTAAGGAAAAGCCCAGGTTGTTGAATCAGTGAATTTATTAGAGTTACCTATAGGAGTGTGGGGGAGGGGTTGTTTGCAGGTCATCTGCATCACCAAAAAACACACTCTCCCGGTGGGTGACTCTTGAAAGTTCACCACTTGCACAATTGGGGGCATCCAGAGCACAGAGCAACCGCTCAGCCAGCAGTTGATCACCGCAGATAGAAGCTGGGAGCTTCTTACTCTTAGAAGTTTCCTGAACCTCTTCGCAAAGAAATGGTTATACAGCCATTCTCATTTTGCAGTCAGAAAACTGATGATAAACACACTTAAGTAAAAAATTCTAAGTTCTTAAGCAATTATTGGGGTTGAAATAAAAACCAGTGTAGCTGCAGAGTCCATGTGCACTTGTGATGCTGTTCTTTAAAATTACATCCCGGGGCTGGAGAAACAGTTCAGCAGTTAAGAGCACCGATGTCTTCCAAAGGACTCAGTTTTGGTTCCCAGCACCCACACTGGGTGGCTCACAACTGTCTGTAGCTCCAGCTCCAGAGGACCCAGTGTCATCTTCTGGCACTTTCGGCACCTGTACACATCCCACATACAAACACACATACTTACGCACAAAACATTTTTAGGAATCTCATGCAGTAATACTTTATTCTCAGTGCTCAGGAGGCTGAGGTACAAAGATTGCAATAATGTGGCCAACCTGAGTAACACAGCAGTGTTTGCCTTAGCAGATTTTAGAATTAAATGTTCCCCTCTTTTAAATGTGTTTTTTGCCTGCGTGAGTTCATGTGCAACACGTGTCTACACATACCTGGAAAGATCATCAGAAACTGGAATTATTATGCACCACCACGTGTGTGCTGGGAACTGAGCACAGGTCCTTTGCAATAGTCATTTTTACTTAATCTTTGAGCCAGCTCTCCAGCCCTGTCTGGTTCTTATCGTGTATGTGTGTGTGTGTGTGTGTGTGTGTGTGTGTGTGTGTGTGTGTGTGAACAAAACACACCTAATGTTTTATTTCTATTTGCAGGGCAAACTTAGTAATTCAGTGTGAAAACTGGTGGAACCTAGCAAAGCAGTTTGCAAGCCGAAGCCCACCTCTTAATTTCTTGTCAAGCCCAGTACAGAGGACACTGATGAAGGCTCTGGTCTTGGGAGGTTTTGCACATATGGACACAGAAACAAAGCAGCAGTATTGGACAGAGGTAAAAAAAAAAAAAAAAAAAAAAATCTCTTCACTTTTGATTCTTCTGTCACCCCGCAGCTGTTAGAAAATGGTCTGGAGGGCTGGAGAGATGGCTCAGAGGTTAAGAGCATTGCCTGCTCTTCCAAAGGTCCTGAGTTCAATTCCCAGCAACCACATGGTGGCTCACAACCATCTGTAATGAGGTCTGGTGCCCTCTTCTGGCCTGCAGACAGACAGAATATTGTATACATAATAAATAAATAAATAAATTTAAAAAAAAAAAAAGAAAATGGTCTGGAGACATAAACACCTCACAATAACTTACCTTGTGTTCTTCCTCCTCATCAACCGTTTGAACCTTATTACTTGATAACTACTGTTTCAGGGCTTACCCAGCCATGCTTGTTTGACACATTGAGTATTACTGATGTTTTCCATGCCTCAGGTACATTTTCCCCAACGTAGATGAGAGCATGAATTGGTGTATCTTTATCAGAATATGAAAAGCATGGTGGGTATCTCATATATAGAGCACTAGCCTTAGCATGCCAAGGCCTTAGGTTAGTTAGCCTCTCCCCAAAAACTGAAAGAAAGAAGTTGACATGAAGAAACACAGGCATTCTTCGCCTTGAAAAGGAGATGCAAATTGCAGTGTATGTTTTCTGGCACTTCTCTTACCACAGTGACCTAAGCAGCAGATTCTGTCTTACATTTATTTAGGAGTCTGCCTAAGTGTCCGAGGAAGGTGTGCATTGTTTCTAAGGTCTGCACGAATGTGGCTTCTGGTAGTTAGTGACAACCTTTGACACTCTTTCTGTCGCAAGTTCTCTGTACTCTGCATTCCAGTTTTCTCAGAGCATAAGATACCATTTTGGAGTAGGGGCTCACTTTTCAGTATGACTGAATCCTAATTTATTGCATCTCAATTTGTCCAATTGAGGTCACTTTCTGAGGTTCTAATTCAACCCATAGCGTGGGCACTTTCTGTAATAATTTATAACTTGAATCAAGTGTATATATAGAGGTCTGGCTTCTGGTCCTTTTCTACAGTGTTCTCTCTCTCTCACCCCCACTCCCCTCTTTTCTAAAGTATTCTCATTCTCTCTCTCTCTCTCTCTTTCTCTCTCTCTCTCTCTCTCTCTCTCTCTCTCTCTCTCTCTCTCTCTCTGTTTTTCAAGACAGATTTGTGTGTGTAGCCCTGTCTCCTGGAACTTCCTCTGTAGACCAGGCTGGCCTCAAACTCACAGATCTGCCTCTGCCTCCCAAGTGCTGGGATTATAGGTGTGTGCCACCATGCCTAGCCTAGATGTTCTTAATATCTGTGAAGGTAAGGTGTCTGTGACTTTATAGCTAAGGTAAAACAGGCTGAGTTTTTTATTTTTCATCCCTGGGTCCATAGCAATGTTTTGGTAGTTAAGAACATGCACTACTTCCTAAGCACACAAGTTTCGCTCCCAGCATCCACTTTGGGTGGCTCATAGCTTCCTATAACTCCAGGTCTAGGAGATCTAATGCCTCTGGTTCTGTGAGCACTTGCATGAATGTGTACATGTCTACCACATATAAGTGTACCCATGTAGCTGGAGGTTGACCGCAGTCATCTTTCTCAGTTGCTCTTTATGTTTGAGGTAGGTCTCTCACTGTGTCTGAAACTGTTTTCAGCTAGACTGTCTGGCTAGCAAACTCTGGGCATCTTGTCTGTCTCCCCAGCACTGGGATTATAGATATTTTATACATCAGTACTGGTGTGTGAACTCAGGTCCTTGTACTTTATGTGGTGACTTGGTTACTTTTCTGTTCTTTTGCTGTAAAAACAGACCATGACCAAAGCAACTTATAAGAAAGCATTTAACTGAGTGCTTGTACACAGTTTCAGAGGATGAGTCCATGACCATCATGGTGGGGAGCATGGCACTGGAGCAGTAGTTTTCATGTTGAGACAGCAACCATGAGGCAGAGAAAGAGTAGGACTAGTGTAGGATGGCACACACCTAATCCTTACCAAACAGTTCCAGCAAGGCCACACACCTTCTAATCCTTAGCAAACAGTTCCAGCAACTAGGAATCAAACATTTAAATATATGAGCCTATGGGACCATTCTCACTCAAACCACCATATTTGACAAGTACTTTACCAACTAAGCCATTTCTTCAGCCCTAAAAACATTCAGAGCAGGACTGATTATCTGAAGTTATGTTTTATACCAAGAATTTTAAGGAAAGGGAAGCAGAAGGAAAAAACGGACAGTCCAGGGCCTTTTAACTATTTTACATTAGAAACTGACAAATTGACTCACAGAACAAGCATGGCTGCTGGTCTGTAGGTGAGCCATCACTGAGTTAGTGCTCAGACTTCATATGAGTCCACTGAAGTGCAGAGTGTGCAGTACGTGCTTTCTGGCCTTTAGAGAAAAGTTTGTTGATTCCCTACTGTGGAGTTCTGAGGCGTGCCCCCCCCATCTTTATAATTCTTTGGCAAGTCACCTGGAAAAATGTGGGAGAAGTGGCAGAATTTAAAGAATGAACTAGTGTGGTACATATGCACATGTGTGCACATGCACGCTCACACACACACACACACACACACACACACACACACCTGTAATCTTATTTCTTCTGAAGCAGAGGCAAGAGGATTGACACCAGTTTGAGGCCAACCAGGGACACACAGTGGCACTATCAGAAAACAAAACAAATAGGGCCTGGCAAAATGACTAAGTGGAGAAAGCACTGTTCCCAGATATGAGGACCAGAGCTCAGAGGGCCAGCACTACATTAAAGGCTGGCTGTGCTTCAAATTCCAGCACGTGTAAGAAAGCATCCCTGGGACGAGCTGGATTCCTCTAGATACCTTGCCTCAGTAGAGTGGATACCAGATGTTAACACTTAGGTGCAGTAAAAACTAGAAAGAAATTATGAGAGAATAAAAATTATTCAAAGAATGAGATTCAAAGAACTCAATTCTGTGACTTTGGTATCATTTTTTGGTGTATGGCACAAGGTATGAAGATTCTCAAAATGGACAATGTACCTCAAACCTGTAATCGCAGCACCTAGGAGTCAGGCAGGAACACTGAGAAATCGAGACCAGCCTGGGCTATCTAGCAAGATTGTTTCAAAGACTTATGGGGTAGGGAAATTAGTGGTTCAAATAGTTCTTGTTTTGTGTGCTTATCCTGTTCCAATAAAGAATATTTTGGGAGTCAGGTTTGGTGGTTCATGCCTTTAGTCCCAGCACTCAAGATGTAGAGGCAGGTGGATCTCTGTGAGTTCAAGGCCAGTCTGGTCTACAGAGTAAGTTCTAGGATAGCCAGAGCTACACAAAGAAGCCCTGTCTCGAAAAAAAACAAACGAGAACACTTTTGGGAAACATGTTCATCCAAGTTGCAGGACTCAGTCTGCATGTTCGGAAGGTCATGCTGTGATGTACTTCCACAGGTTCTTCAGCCTCTGCAGCAGCGATTCCTGAGAGTGATCAACCAAGAGAACTTCCAGCAGATGTGTCAGCAGGAGGAAGTCAAGCAGGAGATCACTGCCACACTGGAGGCCCTGTGTGGCATAGCTGAGGCCACCCAGATCGACAATGTAGCCATTCTTTTTAATTTTTTAATGGACTTCCTTAACAATTGCATTGGGTTAATGGAAGTTTACAAAAATACTCCAGAAACTGTCAATCTCATTATAGAAGTTTTTGTTGAAGTTGCACATAAACAGATATGCTATCTTGGAGAGGTAAGCTCTTTCTAGTTTTCTCCCTTCAGGATTACAAGTCTCTGAAGCAGTGATACTCTATTTTTTTGCTTCACATTTAATGAATATTTGTATTCTCCAAAATAGAAAGTTGTGTGGGGTGAATATAAGTTCTTATTCCAAATTTTGTTAGAGAGGTGCTAATATATTAAATATTGCTGTACTCTTACTATAATTATCCTTTTATTATTGGCCTTTGGTGGTTTTGTTGTTTTGTGGGTTGTTGTTTGTTTTGCTTTTGAGATAGTGTCTCTCTACCAAGGCTGGCCTCAAACTCAGAGTTTCATCCTCCTGCCTCCCAAGTGCTCAGATTAAAGCTCTTTTTTTTATCATTGTTAATACTCTGTGTGTGTGTGTGTCTGTCTGTCTGTCTGTCTGTCTCAGAGGCCAATGGTGGGTATCTTCCTTTATTTCTCTCCACCTTACTTTCTGATGAGATAAGGACTCACCGTATAGCTCACCAAGCCAAGCACACCCAGCAAGGCCCTCTTGTCTCCTCCCCCTGGTACTAAGATGCCCAGCATGCACCACTAGGGATGGTGCTGCACTCAGGTGGTCATGTTTGGCAAGTACTTCTCCAACTCTCAACCTTTCATTATTGTTATATAGAGCTACTATTGCAGTTTAGAGTACGTGTAAACTTGGGCTTATCTGCTAGATCCCACTAGGTAATACCACTCCTCATTTTCTTACAGTCCAAAGCTATGCATTTATATGAAGCCTGCCTTACTTTGTTGCAAGTATATTCTAAGAACAATCTAGGGCGGCAGAGGATAGATGTTACAGCGGAAGAAGAGCAGTACCAGGACCTGCTTCTCATTATGGAGCTTCTCACTAACCTGCTCTCCAAGGAGTTCATAGATTTCAGTGACACAGGTAAAGTCTCTTGAAGTGGTTGTTGTTGCTGTCCTTGTTAAAACTACAGGTTATTTTCTTTAAGTAAAACCCCATGAGGAAGTTGAGCTTAGAGAACAAATGGAAGCAAATCCCTTTGGTTGAAATGAAGGGGGAACTGAAGACCTTTCTCATGTCTACTTAAATATGAATGTAAACTTTTTTTTAATCCACTTTTTTTCTTCTGTATAAAAATCAGTTTATTCGCCGGGCGGTGGTGGTGCACGCCTTTAATCCCAGCACTTGGGAGGCAGAGGCAGGCGGATCTCTGTGAGTTCGAGACCAGCCTGGTCTACAGAGCTAGTTCCAGGACAGGCTCCAAAGCCACAGAGAAACCCTGTCTCGAAAAACCAAAAAAAAAAAAAAAAAAAAAAAAATCAGTTTATTCTACAGCTACCACACACACTTTTTATCTAAAAGAGAAATGGCTTCTGCCTCTTTTTCTCCCGGTTATGCAGTTCTTAATAAACGCCAACTGCTGCTTTTCTCATAATACCATGCAGAAGGTGCCATTGCTATTCCCACTTTACTGCTGAAGTAATGGCATACATGCATGTAGCTAGTAAGTCTGAACTATGCTTGGCAATCAGTAGATGAGACGAGATAAGCTCTCGTTCTTACAGACAAGAGCTTGGTCAGTCAGTAAAGCTCAGACATTTGTGCAGTTTGCCTCCACTTCCTTCATAAGCCATTGCTAGGTTTGTTCTCAGAGAAACAGGCGGGAAGAAATGCAGCTGCTTCAGAAACAAGAGGGTGAGGGGCTGTTTTACGCCCAATGCCTTTAATTGCTTACTCTTGCCTTCATATCTTTTAAATGCCTCTTCCCTCACTAGTCAGCTTTACTTCCCTGCTAACTTTGCCTTCAAACCTGAAATAAGAGAGTTGCTTTATAAGAGCAAGTATCATATATAGCATTGCCTCAGGTCATGCAGGCTTCATAGTCAGAGATATCCTTTGATTTTTTTGAAGGTTCTCCAAGCTGTTACCATAGTAGCCCCCAATAGTCACTGTGTCCAGTCTTTGAGATTGTTCTCGCTCTGTTGACTTTTGTTGGTTTGTTTTTCTTGTTTTACTGTCTGCCCTGTTAGCTTCACAGTTCATTAGCTAGATAGAGGTGCTGGAGTGAAATACCAAAGCATTAACTGTGTTAACTTGGATTTCTAGAACGTCTGTTGCCTTTACTTATCCACTATTATTGTATCTGGTACTCAGATTCTCCAACAAATAATACAAAAGGATGGCCTGGCTTGGGATTACCAGATTTCTCCGTTTCCCATAAATGGATTTCTTGGGTCTTTGAGCTTGACTACGTTTGTGATTTTATAAAGGAATATGAGCTTTGGAGATTTAAGTTACGACTGTACAGTGTGCTTTCTGTTTTGATAGATGAAGTGTTTAGAGGACACGAGCCAGGACAAGCAGCAGGCAGATCTGTGTCAGCAGCCGATGTTGTTTTATATGGAGTGAACCTAATTCTGCCCTTAATGTCACAAGATCTTTTGAAGGTAATTAAAATAATATGAACACAAAGAGTGTTAACAGCTTTGTATTTCTACTCAGTTTATTGTGCTTCTCTCTCAGTGTACATGCCCTAGTCCTCTGTGTACAGATAATTAGTGACTCATGTAATCAGGAAAACAGTTCTGCTAGCAGTTTTAATTTTCTTAGAATTTGTCATTTTGTTCTTAAACTTTATTGTCAACCAAAGGAGCCAGCTGTGGTGGGTATTTTCCAAGCCCTTCCATGTAGAATTGGTATGGTAGAAACCAAAATTAATTTTTAAATTTTTTGCACATTATGACTGTATTGTGCCTTGGTTCTACCAGTTGGTATTAAAGGTGGGTGACCACTGAGGTTGCCCTTTCCTCTTTCCAAAAGTACTCTAGGAGAGAAGTCTTTTGTTTTAAGTTATCACAGAAGGATAAGGTCAAGAACAGGGATCCACTGGAGAAGGAAGAAAAGGGTGTGTGTGTATGAATGTATCACATGCACGTGTGCACACACCTGTGTATGTGATAAAGGGTGGGAAAGAGGTAGTGTGGTGGGGAGCAGAAGCAAGTATCTGAGTGGTGTGGATCAGAAGTGTTAGTTAGGGGTGCCTCCTTAGACTCTCCCCAGGTACTTTGTTCCCTGAGCAATGTCTGTTGGGCAGTTCCTATTAACCCATGAATCTTGGGTTTTTGTGACGACTCTTAGAATGAGAGAGTTTATTCAGCTTTGTCCACTGGTTTGCTTTTAGTGTTTGTCCGTTCCATTGAGTCAGTCATAAACATTTGGTGCACATTTTCTTTGTGGTTAAACTATACTGCCTACTTTCCCCTCTGCTCTTCAGAGCTAAGTAGAAAGATGAAAAGGACTGACCACTCTAATTATGCACAAGTTTTAACAGTTTAATATGTTTTCTAACATACTTATGTGGAAATTAACATGTTAACAAAGGATCATTTAGTTTTTTGACTGCCTTGTTTATTTGTTCAGGATCAACACAGACTATCAGGACTTGTCTATATTTCCTATTAGCCTTCCAGAAGATAATTCTTTCTACTATGTGTTCTTTTTGATAACAGCCACTGAAAAGTTTCCTTCTGTGACTTATTTACATTTCTTTAGGGCTTAGTATTTTATATTAAATACATCCTAGAGAAATCATTGTACTACTTAAAAGTTTGTTAGTTGTTTTATTTTATTAAATATCACAATATTTAATATTTCTTTTTCAGTTTCCAACCCTTTGTAATCAATACTACAAATTGATCACATTTATTTGTGAGATTTTTCCTGAAAAAATACCCCAGCTTCCTGAGGATCTGTTTAAGAGTCTGATGTATTCTCTAGAACTAGGAATGACCTCGTATCCTTTACATGAACTTTGTTATTCAAGGAGGGGGCTTCTTACTTAAAGTTTTTTAAATGATTGATTTTCTTTTATAGTTGTTTTATTTCTTCAAAAACATGTCCCCTCTATAGCTGCTTTAACTTTCTCTTTTTCTTTCTCTTTCTTTTTCCCTTGAGACAGGGTTTCAGACCTGGCTGTCCTGGAAATCACTCTGTAGACCAGGCTGACCCCAAGCTCAAAGATTTGCCTACCTCTGCCTCCTGAGTGCTGGGTTGGAAGTTTTGCACCAGCATGGCCAGCTCTGATTCTGTTCCTCTTGTGAATTTATATGATCTTTCCCTTTCGTGTGTGTAGCACCTGGGCCCTGGTCTTCACGTCCTTCCATCATTAGGTCATGTGATGTATTGCAGTTGGTTCTCCAGTCTCAGCTTGCTGACATTATAATGTCATCATCTGAGGATCATCTGCAGAAACAAGCTAGGCGTCACCAGACTTAGACTAGAAAGGCTAGCTTTTTGAGTCTTTCCTAATTCAGTTAAGACTTTGCAATCTGGTCTACCCCCACTATCTGTATTCATTTCTACAATAGTCATGTACATAATGTAGTTGTCATTTGGGTTTTTTTTTTTTTTTGATCTTTTATAAAGTCGGGTATGTCTTCTAGTTTGTTCTTTGACCATTATGTTCAGAATGAGTTCAGAAGTATGCCAGCTCTGCCTTGAGGCCTTAACACCATTGGCTGAACAATGTGCTAAAGCACAAGAAACGGATTCACCACTTTTTCTAGCAACTCGGCACTTCCTTAAGGTAAGATGTTTGGTGAGTAAGTTGGCGAACTATCTTCTTAACCAAGCTAAGTCCTACTTGCTTGCCATGCCAACTACTGGGGCTAATAAAGGAGTGTTGCCTTAGTTACAGAGTGAGTTCAAAGCCAACGTGAGCATGTTAGCAAGACCTCATCTCAAAGTAAAAAGAGGAGAGCTTTTTAAGTGTGCGTGCACGTGTGTGTGTGTGTGTGTGTGAGTGTGACCTGTCTTCATGCACACCAGAAGAGGGCGCCAGATCCCACTATAGATGGTTGTGAGCTACCATGTGGATGCTGGGAATTGAACTCAGAACCTCTGGAAGAGCAGCCAGTGCAGTTCACCACTGAGCCATTCTCCAGACTCATAAAATTCTTGATTCATGTGTGTAGGTTTGGTTTGGTCTGGTTTTGGTTTTGACAGGGTTTCTCTGTGTAGACCAGGCTGACCTCAAACGCATAGATCCTCCTGCCCCTGCCTCCTGAGTACTGGGTTAAAGGTGTGGGCACCACAACTATGTTCACTGGTTTTTCCGTGAAGACCAGTTCTTTAGGAGCATGTTCTCTTATACTTCTATTTTGTGTTCTTGAACGATGTTGTAAATATAGATTCCACAGAATGTTTTTTTAGATTAAAAAGTGATTTACTAATTAATCGGTTAATGTAATAAATTGACTATAACTGCTATCCCTTTTTCAGGCAGGGAGGGACTAGAGTTTTAAATAGTTATCCTGTATTTTATAGCGATATCGTATTATGTAATTTCAGCTGGTTTTTGATATGCTGGTATTGCAGAAGCACAACACAGAGATGACGACTGCAGCAGGAGAGGCGTTCTACACATTGGTGTGTTTGCACCAGGTACTGATACTCCTCTCTCATGGGCGTCGATGGTCCTCGTCCACCAGTTCTTTGTGTTTCCAGGACTGGGACTCAGAGACCCAGTTCCATTCCCCAGTTCAGTGTTTTCTGCTCTTTCATGAGCTCTAGAGTTGTATTTTTTTGTATTTGTGTCAGATCAAAAGAATTTATTTTCCCTTCTCTCTTATGAGCCATTCTTTGTCGCAGTTCCCACCTAAAAGCTTGGCTTTAATTTACCTGTGCTAGGAGCCAAGTGCATGTACACAGTGAGTGACTGCTGTCTTTGAGGAATTCCGGTTTTATAAAAATAGAGAGGTGTATCAGATTGGGAGCGGGAGTTTGCTTTCAGAGAGTATTAAAGAATGGAGTGTTACTTTGTTTAGTGTTTTGAACCTTTACGATCTAAAACCATTATTCTTGTGGGATCAATGTAACAGAGGCTCACCTGCCTCCTAATTCCGATAGAATGCCTGTCTAATATATAAAGTACATAAAGGAACAAGTTGGGGAAGGGTGATGCCTAATATTCCATTACTTTACACCTTTTTATATGGCCAAGTGGTTGGTTGGAGAAGCTTGGCCTTCCTGAAACCAGTAGGGTTTTCAGACCCGTGCATATAAAGCCCCTCTTCTTCTAGATGCTGTGTGCCATGTGTAGCACAGGCTGAGAGACACTGGGCCTTCAAAGAAAGCTTGCCTCGCTACATTTTCTCTCTCTCTTTCTCTCTTTCTCTCTCTCTCTCTCTCTCTCTCTCTCTCTCTCTCTCTCTCTCTCTGTTTTTCAAGACAGATTTGTGTGTGTAGCCCTGTCTCCTGGAACTTCCTCTGTAGACCAGGCTGGCCTCAAACTCACAGATCTGCCTCTGCCTCCCAAGTGCTGGGATTATAGGTGTGTGCCACCATGCCTAGCCTAGATGTTCTTAATATCTGTGAAGGTAAGGTGTCTGTGACTTTATAGCTAAGGTAAAACAGGCTGAGTTTTTTATTTTTCATCCCTGGGTCCATAGCAATGTTTTGGTAGTTAAGAACATGCACTACTTCCTAAGCACACAAGTTTCGCTCCCAGCATCCACTTTGGGTGGCTCATAGCTTCCTATAACTCCAGGTCTAGGAGATCTAATGCCTCTGGTTCTGTGAGCACTTGCATGAATGTGTACATGTCTACCACATATAAGTGTACCCATGTAGCTGGAGGTTGACCGCAGTCATCTTTCTCAGTTGCTCTTTATGTTTGAGGTAGGTCTCTCACTGTGTCTGAAACTGTTTTCAGCTAGACTGTCTGGCTAGCAAACTCTGGGCATCTTGTCTGTCTCCCCAGCACTGGGATTATAGATATTTTATACATCAGTACTGGTGTGTGAACTCAGGTCCTTGTACTTTATGTGGTGACTTGGTTACTTTTCTGTTCTTTTGCTGTAAAAACAGACCATGACCAAAGCAACTTATAAGAAAGCATTTAACTGAGTGCTTGTACACAGTTTCAGAGGATGAGTCCATGACCATCATGGTGGGGAGCATGGCACTGGAGCAGTAGTTTTCATGTTGAGACAGCAACCATGAGGCAGAGAAAGAGTAGGACTAGTGTAGGATGGCACACACCTAATCCTTACCAAACAGTTCCAGCAAGGCCACACACCTTCTAATCCTTAGCAAACAGTTCCAGCAACTAGGAATCAAACATTTAAATATATGAGCCTATGGGACCATTCTCACTCAAACCACCATATTTGACAAGTACTTTACCAACTAAGCCATTTCTTCAGCCCTAAAAACATTCAGAGCAGGACTGATTATCTGAAGTTATGTTTTATACCAAGAATTTTAAGGAAAGGGAAGCAGAAGGAAAAAACGGACAGTCCAGGGCCTTTTAACTATTTTACATTAGAAACTGACAAATTGACTCACAGAACAAGCATGGCTGCTGGTCTGTAGGTGAGCCATCACTGAGTTAGTGCTCAGACTTCATATGAGTCCACTGAAGTGCAGAGTGTGCAGTACGTGCTTTCTGGCCTTTAGAGAAAAGTTTGTTGATTCCCTACTGTGGAGTTCTGAGGCGTGCCCCCCCCATCTTTATAATTCTTTGGCAAGTCACCTGGAAAAATGTGGGAGAAGTGGCAGAATTTAAAGAATGAACTAGTGTGGTACATATGCACATGTGTGCACATGCACGCTCACACACACACACACACACACACACACACACACACCNCCCCCCCCCCCAAAAAAAAGGTATTTCCTTTCAGGTGTGTGCTCCCTTCTATCATGTTGCTTACTAAGACAATGGGCTTCTTTCCCGTGTGTGCAAGCAATACATTCTGATTTCCTTGTCTGATGGCTTTTAGACTATGTACATTTTAGAGACACTCAAGGGAGCCCAGGAGGATGGCTCAGAGGGCACTTTAGGTACTTGTCACCAAGCCTGATAACCTGAATTCAATCCTTGAGGCCTATATATGTGGTGGACGGAGAGAACTAACTCTGCAAGTTGTTTACACACACAAATAAATAAACAAACGTAAGAACATTTATAAGACATAAGACAAGCATGGTGAAAGGAGAAGACCAACTCCTGCAGGTTGTTCTCTGACAACACATACACATAAATGAGTGTAAAAAATGTTTTTTGTCCCCTGGAAAGACAGAAAACAGAGTGGGCACTTTGGAACAACTAGTGTGGTTCTTGCTGCCTGACCGTTTCTTGGCAATAGGGCAATGATTTGAAGTTATACTGGTTTCCTTCTGTCCTTTGGAAAGGGCAGCTAAGGTAGTCCTGGCTCAGTGCTGTAGACGATGAGGGTGGGAATTTGGGAAGCTGCACCCTGCTTCCCTTCTGCTCTGCATGATGTCTGATTTCATCATTTTATTGTTGTGATATCCCAAGAAGCTCATGGAAGTTAATGGCAGACCAGCTTTCTCCACGGCACTTCTGGCCTAGGTGACTTTCCCTCCAGCCTCTGCCCACTTACCTGTATATTAATGTTATGAGAGAGAATACCAAAGATAAAAAATACCATCACTACATTATCCCTGCCCTTTATCCAAAGCCACTGGCTACAGTGCTGGCTTGGGACTTTCAAAGTGTTCTACCTCCACCTTGCGAGAGCTCTCAAACCTCTACACTTATGCTGCTGTGCCTCTGCTGTCCTTGGAGCTAGGTGGACAAGGTGTCTGCACAAGAACTGTTCACCATCACAATATAGACATGGGGCTTTTGTACAAAATGCAAACTAAATAGAAAAGGCAGTACCACAAAGCTGGGAGCACGTGGAGCCAAATTGCCCATACTGTTGCTTTATAAGTTTGAATGTGTTACTTCAGCTGGCAGAACATTCATCTGTAAAGTATGAACATTGGTAGTGTCAATCTATAGCAGCCTACATATTAAATGAATTAACCTACAAATAAAGTGAGAACAGTAATCACTGATGTTGGAAAGAGTGGTCTGCCCTGCCTTAGAACCAACCCCATAGTCCCTGCTAGGATCCCCGGAAGGCATTCTTATGACTATCTTGTTTCCTTTGCAGGCTGAGTATTCTGAACTAGTTGAGACATTACTGTCAAGTCAGCAGGACCCAATCATTTACCAGAGATTAGCAGATGCCTTCAACAAGCTCACTGCAAGCAGCACTCCTCCTACCCTGGACCGGAAGCAGAAGATGGCCTTCCTAAAGAGTTTAGAAGAATTTATGGCAAATGTTGGTGGTCTCCTTTGTGTGAAATAAACCACAGAGCTATATTCTTAACTTAGATCCTTTCTGCAAAGTGCACTGAATTGCTGAAAGTTGACTTGAGTCTTGGCCTATTCCTCAGTTCATTTGACCATTTGGATTTTGGAGAGCCTGAGACTTCGATGTGGAATTTGGTGAAACAGGAGAGGTCAACTTCAAATCAGCTTCTGTTATTAGGTGTTAGCCATGATCTGCCATATACTTGTCTTCTAGATTCTGAATGGTGATTTAAAATTTCAAAATGCAATTCCATATATGTGCAAACAGATATGGGCACCATGAAATTCCTATTCAGTGCCTTTTGCCCTTTTATCAAAGCATAGGTAACTAGCCAAAGGTGGTATGTTTTCAGAACTATTTTTCAAAATGTCCATAGATTCCCCTCATCTCTTGGGGAACTGGTTGTAGGGGTGGATTCTTGGGCCCTACTGTGCATCTTCAGAATACCTGGTTGTTAGCTCTGGGGTCTCCATTTTAATAAGTTCTTCCCCTTTGTTATCCTAAACATTTTGAATCAATGCAAGAGATGGTGAAAACTCGTAAGAGATTTTGTGCTTTCCTACTTTTCCTCCCTTCCGTGATTATAATTATGCAGGAAGAAAAATCATCAGCGAGTGTCTGTTAGTTTCATTGTCCATCTTCCCCCTTCCCCACCTTCCTTCCCTTTCGTCCTCAGCGTTGCAGGTCTCGTGTAATTATTGCAGGTTTCTAATCAGACGGTGATGCCTGAACTTGAGGGAAATGCGTGTATATTTCTGTTTCGTAAAGTTAACTTTAGGAACTGTAGCCATTTCATTGCCTTAATTTTAAGAGGAAAAGACAAACCAGATTTGTTTTAGAGAGAAATTAGTCTTGACATGTAAGAGCTGGCTTAGGGTATTAGCTGCTATGACCCTCCTGCCCCTTCGATTATGTATTTATGTGTGTTTGCCAGTGAAATGAAACGAGAAACCCCGTGTGGTTACCTCTCTGTTTCTGTCCAACCACACAGCCTGTATCTACTCTGGATGGCTTGCTTAAGCAATAACTTTTTAATGGATGTGAATTACCACTTCACACAGACTATTGCACATTGGGGCATTAGGGGCAATAATTATGCTAAAGTGGGTGTTATCCTCAAGTCACAGGAGCCACGCTAGTTCAGTTTCAGAGACTAAAAATTTATCTTTAGCCAGGCATAGTCATGAATGCCAGGCTAGTCTGGGTTACAAAGTATGATCTGTCCTTTAAAAAAAAAAAAAAAAAAAGAGAGTAAGAGAGAGAGAAGAGAGATTCACTTTAGATCCTCTGGCTCAATCAGGATTTTTATACTGCTACCGTGCTCCACTTAATTTTGTGTGCCAGTTTTAATTATGAAAATAAAAGCTCATTTATAAACAGCAGTCCTTGGAAACTGCAGGACCAGTCACAGAGTATAGCGGCAACAAGATGCTTCTGCCCAGGTGCATCTGAGACTGCCATGGAGGGGCAGGCTTCTCTGCTGTTGACGTCTCTGCTAAACCTGAACCGCACGTACCTTAGCATCTGACGCTCTGGAGACGTTGTATGGCTCTCTATAAACAGAGCATCCCATTCCTGTGATGGTAGGTGTGAGTGGACGCAGAGCTGAGGGCCATAACTCTTTGAGAATCCTTTCTTCTGTATTGATCACCATTTAGTAACAGTAAGCATGGAGGAAGAAAAATCTCTAAGTACTACAAAGAAGGAAAACAATAGCATTCTCCACATGCTCTGTATTTTAAGTTCTTGGAAAGGAGTGCTTTTCGATTCTTTTTCTGTTAACTTGAAGTGCTCTACATCAGTAATCTCTCTGTTTTGTGTTCTTGATGTCTGTTTCCTCAGCGGGTGTGGTTTGTGTGTGCTGTGCGAGTTATAAACATGGGCCTAAGTTCACGTGGAGATGGGTAGGGAAGGATGCAGTAAGAAGGCATCTGAGTGTAGCTTCTATACAGACAGAACTATATGAAATTGTCTGGTACTAGTATGATACTCCGGGTCTGTTACACCACTTTTAATTGAAGGTAGATTTATTTTAGATTGGACCAAATAATGCTTAAATGATCACCAGAACATTGATTAATGGCCAACTGACAGTGAATGACGCCACCATATTTCAGAAAACGGGAATGCCACTTGTACCACCTAGATTTTTCAGGGTGTGTGTTTGCATTTGTTGCTTTATTGAGTATTTGTGTAGTTTGGTCTTTTCCTTTGCCCGGCTTTGTTGTTTACAAGTGCTTTATGAACCTCTGGGTTTTGTTGCTGTTCCACTTCCTGATGCTCTTCACCCAGTGGGTATTGAGGCCATGGATTTCATGGTCACGGACTAGTTTTCCTATTTAAACTGACTGTTAAATCATTTGTGCACTTTTAAAAATACATGTTAAGAGGACGCTCGCTGTCAGATATTTGACTTTTCCTCTTTTGTGTTAAATTTCATTTGTTCATAGCGTGTCCTCTAACCTGTATTCCCCATACTATTGTTCGCCTTGGCTCATCTTATGCTTCTTGACCATTTTTTCCCCAGGGCGCAATCACTAAGTCATCAGAGTCCCAGGCAGGGAGGTTGTATGCTAATAGTGGTGCTGACGTGACCCCCTCAGCTGTGGGCTTGTGGCCTCTGCAGAGGGTAGTTTGACTGATGTCTTTGACAGTGTCCTTTCTAACACAGCAGTTGAATAGTATTCTAGGGAAGACTGTTATGTCAATGTGACTGTATTGTTTCTGTCTGATACCAATGACAATTTGTGTACATTCTGTCGAGATTTCCCCACACTTAAAAACTTCAAATTGATTGTATGGAAAAATATCTAATGATAATCAGATACTCTGTCCCAGTTTTCACTTCAAAACCAAACAGATCTATAATCTTCCCCACTCAGCATCACTCAGCGCTCTTCCTGCGGTCAAGACTGTGTGGCCACCTGTCTCCTCTCTGTCAATACTTGTATGAAGCCCTCAAGTACTGACGGGACGCTAGCTGTCAGTTTCAAGTATTTCAGGTCAGAGTCTCCTAGGGGATAGGTAGTGTTGATTGTACCCTGAAAATGTTTTTCTTTGTTATGTATTTACATATATTTTGTTTGCCGTCTCTGTTAGTAGAGGTGATTGTCATGGGCCCTGTCTTGCAAGTGATCACTACGGGGTCTCAGTACCAAACTCAGCATTTGAGTCTGAAGGAACTGCAGTGTTGTGCAGAGGTGTCTCTTGTTGTTTTTTTTTTTTTTTTCCTAAGAATAAGGAACTCATTTGGATATGAGGTTTTTAACATTATAAATTTTCTATAAAATTTCCCACAGAATAACAGATAATTTGAGGCTGTAATAGTATTTTTAAGTTACTTGAAAATATAAGTGGGTTTTTTTCTGGAAACATTGCATTTCTTTAAAACTTAACTTTCTGGAATTAGAAAAATGTCCAAATTAGACATCTTGTTAAATTCAAGTTGATTTAAAGGGCCATGGCTCAAGTTTAACTTCACTTTTCCTTAGGCATAAGAATTGTGAAGTGTTCCTGGTTGGTTATAAGGGGAAACCATGACTTATATAGCCAAAGAGTACATTTGGTTCAGGTCAAAGTAGAAGATTAATAATGGACTTTGATTTTGCTAGTTTTGAAGATGGACGGAGGAGTGTCTCTGTTCTGTAGATGTGTGGAGGTCTCTGTAAAGACTGTCCTGGTGATGCCTCCTGGCCAGTGGGAGATGTATGACTGGAGTAGGCAGCTCTCTGTACCCCTGTAGCCTGCTCTTCCCCTGTGGGAAGGTTTGGCTTTCTTGTTGTTGTGTCTGCATTTTTAGGCCTCTTAGCTCTTGGGAGCTGTCAGGTGTGCTCTGGTGGCTAATTTCCCCAGCCTGAGGTTATTTACCGTGTCTGCACTATGTACCTACTGGGGGTGGGGGTGGGGAATCTGACCTCAAGTGTGCTCTAAACCCAGGTTTCCTGGTGTGGTGTCTACCACGAAATCATGACAAATGGCAAACCCTGGTATTGTGATCTTATTCTCTGTACAAAAAGAAGCTCTATGCAGTGAGCTGTGGTTTAGTGCCCACAGAATGTCAGCACTGCTACCATTCAGCACGTGTAACATTTTTAAATTTATAAATATTAAAGTTTTAAACTTACACTAAGACTTTTTAGTTTATTTTTTTTTAAGAAACCCAGGGATGAGTATACTGTCTACATATTTACCTCTATTAATATAACTAATGAAGGCATTTAATTTTTGAAAAGATACTGCAGTATGATTTTAGGAAATAAACCAAGGCTATATGTTAAGCCAATTATAACCTGAATATCAAATTGATAAAACTTGATTTGTATTTTTTAAATCCTTCAATGGGCTTTAAAATATGTGTTTTCACTAAATATTTTTATTATATTTTGGTTTGACCACGTGTGATTTGTTCATGGGTGTTGTATTAGTGTTCTGTTGCTTTGAAGAGGTACTATGACCACAGTCTTTCTTATAAAAGAAATCATTTAATTGGGGGCTTGCTTACAGTTTCAGAGGGTTAGTCCATTATTATGGTATGAGGCATGGCAGCACACAGACAGACATGGTGCTGGAGAAGTAACCAGTAGCAGGAAGAAAACACTGGGCCAGTCTTCCCACCACCAACACCCTTCTTTCAACAAAGCCACACCTCCTAATCCTTTAAAATAGCGCTGCTTCCCAGTGGCTCTTAATCAAACCACAACATTGCACTCCCGGGCCCCTAGAGGCTTGTAGCAATATCATATAGGGAAAATGCAGTCAAATCAGAAGTTTCTATAGTCTTTAACAATCCCAACAGTGTTTAAGAGTCTGAAGACTCCTGGAGCTCTCCTAACCATGATATGATGTAAAAATCAAAAAGCAGAGCACATACTTACAAAATCCAATGGGACAGGACATACATTACCCTTCTGAAAGGGAGGGAAGGGAGCACAGTGAGCAAACGCTGGACCAAAGCAAGGCAGAAAGCTAGTAGAGCAACTTCCAGATTCTGCATCTGTGTCTGACCTGCAGCTGCTTCCAGCTTTGTTAACTGCAGCACACACACCTCTCTCTCTCTCTCTCTCTCTCTCTCTCTCTCTCTCTCTCTCTCTCTCTCTCTCTCTCTCTCTCTCTCTCTCTCTCTCTTTTTTGTTTCTCTTCCTATTGGCAGGTCTTCCACAGCCCTGTTGGTCACTTTCATAGCTTCATACAGTGGTCTTGGGCCTCCAATCAGGGATGACCCTGACATATTCGTGGCCTCAGCAGCTTTCCTTAGCCACAAAGGGAGATTACAAAATCCCTTTCTGGTGTTTTGACTCTAAAGGTAGAACCACAAGTATTGTGCCAAGTATTGTTCCTGCTCTGCTGGGGCAGGAACTTGGCCCCCCTTTTTTGCACCAGCTCTCCGCTGATGATTTCCTTCACCATTTAAGCTTTTCTTTAATTCCTTCCACGAGTTGAAAGCTTATTTGGGTAGGATCAAGTCACCACTCCCTTTACCCAGTTAGCATCAGGCTTTTCTTTTTAATCTCCTTGAGCACTGGACTTAGCTCCATACATTTCCTGGTGCTCCTTTTCTCCTACAACTGCATTTTGCATTTTTCCTTGCTCAGCTTGCTCCTTTGCATTATAGATCTGTGTAAGAGTGACCAATGATAGCCTCACAACAGAGTCCATACTGTCTTGGAATTTCCTCTGCCATAGTCAATAATCCAGAACTTCAGTTTAGCCTCAGGCAGATTTTTTTTTGGCAAGGAGAAAAAGCAGCCACATTCTTCACGAAAATACCAAAAGAATAATCTTTTGGCCACTTACTAGCGTTCTTGAAACCTCTTGAACAAGACCATCGTAATCTACATTGCTGTCATCACCACTCTCTTCCATGCTTCCCCTTCAGCCCATTAAGGCCCACTGAAGGTGGTTCAACTGCTTTCCTAATCCAACATTTCCTATCCACAAACAGCAAGATCAGACCTGTCATCGCAACACCCCACTTCTGATAAGGACCTCTGTCTTAGTGTTCTATTGCTGGAAGAGACACCATGACTACTGCCTTTCTAATAAAAGAAAGCATTTAACTGGGACTGGTTTACAGTTTACTCCAGTTTAGTCCATCGGTATAATGGCAGCACACATGCAGACATGGTGCTGGAGAAGTAGCTGAGGATTCTACATCCAGATCCACAGGCAGTGGGAAGAGAGACTGGGTCTGACTTGACCGTTTGATGTTGTAATAAGAGCAGCGGGGCTGCGTCCCCAGCACCCCGGCCGCCTGGCTAGCTTATGCCCGAAATAACAACACACAAACTGTATTCATTTAAACACTGCTTGCCCATTATATCTAGCCTCTTCTAGGCTAATTCTAACATATTAATTTAGCCCATTTCTTATCATCTATGTAGCACCGCTAGGTGCGCTTACAGGGAAGATTCTAGCCTACGTCCATCCTGGGTCGGAGCTTCATAGAATATGCCCAGAAGAGCGAAGCAGGGCCTCTGCTCCAGAGAGCAGAGCTGTTGAGTCTGAGCTCACTTCCTCTTCCTCCCAGCATCCTGTTCTGTTTACTCCTCCCACCTATGTTTTAACCTATCAGGCCCAAGGAGTTTCTTTATTGCTTAACCAATGAAATCAACAGATTGATATATGACACTCCCACATCAGTTTGAAACCTCCAAGCCCACCACAGTAACACAATTCAACAAAGCTGCACGTCCTAATCCTTTCCAATAGCACTTCCCCCCCTGATGGCTGAGCATTCAAATCTGTGAGCTGTATGGTTCATTCTTAAATGTTAAGCCACCACAGGTGCTATGACTGAAATATGCTTTGTTTTGCTGGAGGTTAATGTTGGAGGATCAGAAAAACTTGTTAGTATGGAAAGACATGCTTGTTTTCAATATATAATAAAGATGGCTGGAGCTATTTGGAGCTGGCCACTTGTATGAAACTCACCTGGAGGTCGAACAGTTCATTTCTTCCTGCCGACACCCCTTCCCTGGCCCAGGACCTGAATCCAGACAGGACTGCAGCACCAATATCAGTTTTTTTCCTTCATCACTTTCTGAAAACACCAGCGACTTTACCCAGTTGGTTCTTTGCTTTAGGAAAATCCACTCATTGGTTGTGAGACAATAGGTAGACACTACACTGGGTATATGCGTTATACATTGTTAATCTATTTTTAGTGAGTGGGTCTGTGTATGGAGAGTTTGTATGGATAAGTACAGGTGCCATCAACGATAGGAGGAAATCCCCTAGAGTTCAGGTTACAGGTAACTGGGCTGATGATGTGGGAGCCACGTGTGTTCTTAACCTCTGTGCCATCCTGCCCCAGCTTCACCCCAGGTGATTTCACAAGGAAACAAATCCAAACAACCAGAAGCAAGATAGCATCACCACATGGGACTATCCAGATCCTCAGGATATCCAGTATTCTCATAAGCTCGTGGCTTGAGAAATAATTTTAAGATGATTGATTAAATCATTAAATAGAGACAAAATTATAGTAAAGAATTCAGGATTTGAACCCTCTGGCTTTTCAAGGGTGTGGTGAACTACTAGTTTTTTCTTCACACCTTTGTTCTTTGTCCTGTTTTAAGCCCTGTGTATGTATATGTATATATATACACATACATACATATATACACATACATACATATATACACATATACACACATAGTAGGGCACAAATTTCCTCTGAGTATGTGCGGGTGTGCACACCTGGGCTTGTGAGCACACCTGGGCTATACATAAAGGCAGGAGTATGTAGGTGACCTGCTTTACCACTTTCTGTCTTAGTCCCTTGAGACAGGGATCTGGATCTGAATCTAGATTTAGGCTGGCAGCCAGAAAGCCGAAGTGACCCTCTTATCATCCCCCTGAAATGGTGCCTGGGTTACAGATACACACAGCCACACTAGGCTTTCTGTGTGGGATTGAATTCAGTCCTCCTAGTATATACTGGAACTTACATTGAGTGGTTTGGGTTTGACCAATACCATGACATATTGACTCCTTTATGGAACTGGTTTGGTTTGGTTTGTTGTTTGATATTAAATGGGAGATTCCTGGTGGGATCTTGTGCCTTCTGTCTTATCTAAAATCACATTTCTATTAAACTAAGTGGAAACAGAGGGCATAGTTGGTCAAATCGAAGAGGAAAGTTATGGTGAAATTCCACACAGCACATTTGGCATAAATCTGAGCTACAAGTTAACCTACTGAGCTCCTCTGGGTTGAGTGGATTTTCCTAAAGCACAAGAACCAACTGGGTAAAGTCGCTGGTGTTTTCAGAAAGTGATGAAGGAAAAAACTGATATTGGTGCTGCAGTCCTGCCTGGATTCAGGTCCTGGGCCAGGGAAGGGGTGTCGGCAGGAAGAAATGAACAGTTTGACCTCCAGGTGAGTTTCATACAAGTGGCCAGCTCCAAATAGCTCCAGCCATCTATTTTTTTTTGATTTATAGTGGTTATTTTATTTTATATTTTAAAACTTTTTTTTATTTTACATACCAATCCCAGTTCCCTCTCTCCCCTCTTCCATTTCCCCCCACTTTCCACCCACCCTCCAGCCATCTTTATTATATATTGAAAACAAGCATGTCTTTCCATACTAACAAGTTTTTCTGATCCTCCAACATTAAACTCCAGCAAAAACAAATATGTCAAATGTTTTTTCCCCCAACTTTTACATCAAAACATCTTTAAACCAAAACAACACCATTTTGCAAGTACATCCTGTTTTTACAGAACTAAAAGGTGATTGACACAGGCACACATTTTCAAGAACAGCAATCCTGTTCAAAACATATTTACAGAAACGGGGCTGATCTGCCTCCGATCCTGTCAGCCTGAGTCAGAACAGCTCTCGGTGACAGCTGGCATCCCCAGACAAGACACCTGAGGAGCATCAGCTCCCAAAGAATTTTAGGGGAAAAATATTCAAGGGAAAAAAAAATGAGGTTTCCAGGAATGGTCACATCTGTCCCATACATGACTGACAAATGGCACTAACCTGCCAGGAGAATCAGTGTTAAAAGAGAGAAAAAGCACTCAGACCACCTGGTCCCAGCAGGACTCTGTTATCCCCAAGCCCCCTGGTCCTTCCTGAGTGAGACTCCTGTGGGCTTTTGCCTCATCTGAAGACCTGTTGAACAAGCACTCATATACTGGTCTGAAACTAGGCCGCATGACTCCCATCAGGCTGGAAAGATGGTTAAGAGCATTTTTTCATGCAGAAGACCCAGGTTTGATCCCCAGCACCCATATGGTGGCTTGCAATCATCTATAACTCCAGTTCCTAGGGATCCAACGTCATCTTCTGGCCTTCCTGGGCATTGAATGGTACAGCCATACATGGGAACAAAACACCCACACAAAATAAAAATAAACAGTGGAACTTAT